ATTTGGAAGCTGGGTCCCAAGTTCGATGGCCCACATCGGCTGGGAAGGTTCGCACTAGAGCCATCAGTGGAGATCACGGCTGTTGCCGCATCTTCAATATGGAAATCCTTGGATGGAAGCTTGCTCAGTCTGTTGGCCATGGCCACAAGCACAGGTCAGGTTCATATACGCCGGATCTCTGTTTCGGACGGCTCAGAGCTATCCGTAAGTGCGCCTCTCTGCGAAACTCCCGTTTTTGACGTGGGCCTTGGAAGTATTGGGCAACTCGCCGTTCTGACCGATATCTCCGATGAAATCGAGGTGTTCCTTGCAGTGGGGCGTGGGGTTCATGTCTCTGCCGCGGTTCTACACTGCAGCAAGAAAGGAGACTTGAAGCAAGTGTTGGCCTACACAGCCAGCGCGCCGTGCCACGCAGTTCCAGTTGTTTCGGTCTTGTGCTGTGCAGGTGGAATTCTTAGCCAGGCTGACTCAAGATATCGAAATGCAAACATACTCTCCATGGACTCTTCGGGGCAGGGCGTTCTCTGGCAACTTCCTTGCGAGACGGAAGGAGGAACGTGCGGAACATTAGACCCCAACAAACTTTGCAGCCTCGTCCCTGGAAGCTGGCAGAGTTGGCTGACGACGGTGGAGCAGAAGGCTTTACGACTGGACGCACGCATGGTTCGAGCCGCAGCACGTGAACGAGAAGCACGTCGGGGTAGCTCGCTTTTCTGTGGGCTTGCCATGTCGCCTTCTCATTGCCTGCTGGCGATGCAGTCCGTGATTGTATCCGAAAGGACAACTCAACAACGCATGGCAAGCTCCTTGCTGATTACTCCCGTGGGGAGCCCACTGCATTCCTTCAACGCGATTCTGCGAAGTCTCGTCCAGGCTGTGCATCAGAGCCAGGTCTCTTTCTTTTATTGCAGTCTCTGGGATGTCGCGGAGTCATGGCAGATACAGACGCAGAGGAAATTCATTGATTTTCCTTTTAAGTCCCGAAAGGAGACAATGGGCCGGAATGAGAATTGCCTGGAACGGTGTCTCGAGTGGATCTGGGACCTGGCTGAGATGTTCACAAGGGTTGCAGAGGCTGCAGAAGCAGATGCTGCTGAGCTTGCGTTGGGTTCTCTGGGTTTTGCTCGGAGCTCCGCCTCGAAGCAAGCGGCAATCAGAGACTTTGTGCCCAAGAGCCTGGCGGAGCGGAGGCTCCAAACGAGCGCCGAGTCGCTGCAGTCGCTGTGCCTCCGCAATGTGGATCGCCTCCTGCATCTCTGCAAAGGCACCCCCCCTGACCTGGTCTCTGTCAAGCAGCTGCAGAATGCCTGCCTGGAGTTCGCGCGCTTCGTCACCGCGCCACGTGGCCGGAGCGAGAAAGACACGAAGTCGGATGCCCAAGCGGCCTCTTGGAAAGGCCCGCTGCTGTCCCTGACGCGAGAGTATTGGAAATGCAAACTGGCTAAGGCGGCTAAGTCCAAGGCTTCGACACCTTTGGGTTCGGCCGAGCAGCTACTGGCATTTCTCTCGAATCCAGACCAGGCCCAGGCCCCTGGGCCTCAGAAGTGCAGGATGTGCCAGCAAGCCGCTCTCATTGACCCCTTACTTGTGGAAGTTTCTTGCGGTGCACATTCTGTGCCACTTTGTCAAGAAAATCTGCGTCCATTGCTGGCGGAGCCTCACATCCTCTGCGGCTTCTGCAGCCGATACACAGAACTGACCACCACATCTGGACGTTTTCGCGTTTGTGCGTGGTGTGCCGCCCCAACGTAGCCAAAAAGTGTTCGGCCCTGTGCTAGCAGTTCAAGCACCAAGCACAGGTTCGGGTTTAAGGTCTTGGCTCGGAGTTTTTGGATCTTGGTCCGCCCAGCGCATTGCCGAAGTGTGAGTCCGCAGGTCACCTGTCAGGGTCGAAGAAGAACAGGCTCCAGGGGCGGTTTTGACACGGCGAGGAGGGTTACCAACTTAATAGAGCTCCGTGCAACATGCCGAATGTTTGACCCTAAAACTACCCCTGAGGGCGTGTGGGAAGGTGGGGAGACCACGCCAGGTTCCGGGCGAGTCGGATGGCCGTGCCTGCATGGCTGCCTTGAACTGCCCAGAGGAGCCGCATGTGACGAATCCTGCACAGCCTGGTTTTTCTTTCGCCCGTGCAAGGAGCTCCAGAGCAGAGAGAAGCTGGATGCTGTGCAGGCCCTTTGTGAGAAGGCGCAAGCTAGAGCTCATTGCTCTATTTGCTCTGCAGCTCGTGGCCCGTACAGTTCTTTTTGATTGGGTGCAGGAGTTGCCCGGCTACGCACGGCCACTTTTCTTGCGCTTCTTGCCGTCAATGGAAGTTACCGGCACCTTCAAGCACCAGAAGGCGGACGAAAGCTTGCGATCCGCATGAACGCACTCGATCGTCTTTCTGCAAGGTCCACTTGAGAAACGAGGGCATCGACCTAACGAAGGCATGGCAGGGGAAGGGGGGGGAGCCGGGCAGCTGAGCTTCACAGCAGATAGATGGCTCGGTGGGGGGGGCAGGTCCAAGACCCGATCTACGTCCTGCACCCCGCCTCGAAGCGCTACGAGCGCCTGGACGCCGCAATGCTCCAGGAGCTCCAGCACCGAGCAAAGCTGCAACTTGACTCGACAGTCTTGGTGATGGGCCGAGGGCCGAGGGGGGGCTTCGGGCTCTGACATTTTGAGGTAATGACGGGAGCACAAGGCTCGCTTCGTTGCCGCATCTCGTTCGGCCTTCACTTTTCGACTGCCAGGCCTTCCTCGAAGCTTGGATCCCTGCTTGGGGGATCCTTCGCTGAGCAATTCGCGTTGGACAAAAAGGGGCGCGGTGGAGACACAGAAGCACGCGAAGCGGAGAACAACAGAGGTGCAGAAGAAATCAGAAGAGTGAAGCAGTTCCACCCTTGGCTCCCCAAGCAGAATTTCGAACCGCGAACGATGTTATTCCGATGATCTGGACCTGCGCACTGGGTCAGTGTGGCGGGCAGGGCGCGCTCGCGCTTCAGGGAGTGGGATCTCTTGCTGCAACCTTGCGCAATCATTCAGCATAAGAGGTACGGGGGCATGCAAGCAGCATCTGATGCAGCAGATTATGTTGCCAGAACATGGCCCGGCAGACTAGACTCGCTCTCACTCATTCTTCATCCTACATTGGGACGTGAGCTCCGAATGCAATCCACGTGTTTTCGGATTGCTTGGCTACTTTGCTTTTCCATCGGCTCTAGCAGAGGGGGCTTTCTGCCGTCTCCTCCGACTCGAATGCAGCGATGTTGACGACCCAGGGGGACTGTACATGTCATGACGTCACCACATTGCACGGCACCGATGTGGCCAACGCTCCCGTCAGGCCTGGGCTGGGCGACCCCGGCCTTCAGGCAATGGGGAGAGAGAGAGAGAGAGAGAGAGAAAACACGGCATGCCACTCCCTTCCGTATGTTGACGGCAAGCTCGGAAGAAGGATCTCGGCAAAACTGGCCCATGCATGATTGCTGAAACACAACATGATGGCTCTGCAGTCTCGGACAGGGCAGCAACATCTCGCAGAGCGCAGGCCCCGGGGAACCAGCGGAAAATACTCGGTAGGGCACTTGGCAGAAGCCGCGGGCAAGGGCCGAAGGGCCCAGCAGGAGCTGAAGGGACGCGGAGGTTTTCTAGAACGTCGCCTACCAGTAGCTTTCAATGCGAGCCTAGCTCAGACATGCTCAGACATTCTGCAGGCAAGCAGAGATTGTACGGTGCGTTGCTGGACGACCAACTGAGCCACGATGCCGAAGCAGCAAGGTGGATTGGAGTCTGTGGCAGATAAGAACCGCGAGCCACACGTCATAGGTGGGATGCGTGGCTTCCGTCTTGTTGCGACAGGCTTTCAATGTCCAAGCGTCGTCGGCGCGTAAATGGCTCGGGCCTGAGAGGCTGAAGGGAAGCTGCATCATTGCATCATGTTCATGCTTGGGCCGCACGCATGTGGTGAACCAATGAACAAGCCAACATCTCATACATCTATTCCCGCCAACGCTTTTCTGCTTCTTTGGTTTGATGCAGCCAACAGCTCGGATCTGGGGCGAACCGACATCTGATCTGGGCCTTCTCTCAGCTGCCGAGGTGCGCCACTCCTGCTGGCACTGCTGCTGCCGCAGCTGCCTCGTGGTCTTTGCGGCAAAAAAAGCGCTGACATCCTGGCTCCAAGGTGGGCGGTTTTCGTGCTCTGCTTTGCGATGGCATGAGCCTCAAGCTGGGCCGTCACGTGCCGCACCGTGCCAGACCGTGGACCTCCGATTTGTTAGTTCATAAGGCCGGTTTCATCTTCCACTACGCCATGCCGCTGACTGCAACGTCAGCTTGCCAAGTCTAAGTGTTCCTTCGTGACGAGACATGCCTGAGCTTCGCATCGGGTGCGCTCAAGGCTCGCGGAACTCCTCGTGGTGGCAGTGTCCGGTCGCTCAGTCGTGACCAGCGCAGATGCACTTTGGGCTCCCGGCTCCCGTTGCGACGGCGACTGAGGTGTCTGCAGCGGGTCCTCTGGGCTTGGCGCTTGTGGAAGCGAGGCAGAAAGGGAAAAGCGGCCTTGAGCAACTCCAGCGTACAATTCAGCAGTGACGCGCTGAGTTCAGCGGTTTGCTGGGACTTCCTGTGCCCTGCAGGTGCAGCAGAAGGGCGGCTTGGCCCGCAAGCTCATACAATGCATCGCTTGGCTGCCAAAGAGGGCAGGTGTTTGAACTCTGAACTTGCAATGTGTGTCGCACTTGCTGTTCGGTTTGGTGTTGCTTTGTCAGAAGACGGCATGGGAAGCTGCGAAGAGGTTCTACCCTGCCTACATTGCAGTTGCCACGCTTCTCGCGGCGGTGGTCGGTTGGGTGCCAGCCTCGGAGAGCTTTTTCGAAAGCTCAGGTTCTTCATGTCAGTGAGAAGCCAACTTCTACGTCGGTCCATGAGGTTTGTTCAGCAGCCTTGTCCCCAAAGTTTCGCGTTGCAGTGCTTGCTCTCGGCTCAAAAGGGGCTGAGCCTCCCCACTCCCAGTCATGGGGAAGAAGGGCAAGTGGCTCGGCTTGATTTCACTTTCAGCCGAGAAAGGCCTCAAGGGCGGGACTCCTTGAGCCAGGGTTCCGCGTGCTTGTAGTCGCGTAGCCTGCTCGTACCGCTCCAGCTGACTTCAGGAAGAAGAAGGCGGCAGCGCCAGAGCCGGTAGAGGAAATCCCGGCCGACCTCAAGGAGCAACCATGCTTGCGTCCGGCGTGCCCTTCAAACTCCAAACGCGAGACGCGCTAGCCACCTCAGAGCCCTCTGTGGCCTCTTTCCGCCAGGAGCTGACGATCCCGAATCTCCGAGATCGAATCGATGCCTTCCAGTATCGTCTCAGCAAGGCTCGTTGCTATCTGCAATATCTGCAAGGGAAGGCTTCGCAGTTTGAATCTTCTCTGAGGCGGCAAAGGACAGAAATTACATGCAGCTGGAGAAAGAGCCTGGCCTGGAGCAAGTTGTAGCTGCTAGATGCTAGATGACAGATTTCCTGCATTGTTTATCGCTTGGAGATGTTTGGAGTATTCAGCGCAGTTGCGAGTATGCTTCCTGCAGCAGCTTGGAGTGTTACTTCGTGACGGCTTCGCAATTTCCGCGATCCAAGGACATGGTGAACAGGTCGGCAGGGCAGACGAGCAATGCACACTAGACATGTACAGATGCATTCGGTTGGTTCAGAGCGACTCAAGCAGCTAGACATATGCCGCGATCTACCGCTTCTAACCGCCACTTGCATGATTGGAGGTTCTACGAGATCACCAAGTCAGAGGTCAAACAGGTGGAGGCCGAACTACTAAACATGGATCGCATCTGGTCTGCAAGCTTGCGCAATTTGCGTTCTGAGTTGGGCAAGTGCTTGGACTTGCACTGTTCAAGTGTCGACGTGATGAGGAAAGATGGAGATCTTGGAACGTGATTTCCGAGTCCACATCAAAGTCCACGAGCAAAAGGCCAGAGCCCTGTTGTAGAACTGACGGACTTGCCACCACAATGTGAAAAGGTGCAAAACCTGGAGTACGAACACAAGGAAGCCAAGAGGCAGGTGGGTGAGAATGGTGACATGGACCTCCAAAAAGCGTGCCACAGCCGCAAGACTTGACTCATAGGCACTATAGGGCACCAAGGGTGCGACTGCGGGCTGTAACTTCCCCAAATGCCCAAACTGAAGCTCAAGGCGCGACCTGCACTCGGAGCAGCTCCTCGACATGAACAAGGCAGCGTGCAGAGGGTGTCGGTTGGCCGCTTGCTGGTCGAGGGCTAGGTTGGAGTCCTGGCTTGGTTCGGTTCAATTCCATGTCCATGTATCGCTCCATCTATTTGAGGTCAGGGGTTGCCTCATTGTTCTAGTGCTCTCTCGCTGTCATTTCGACGGCTTGCCAGCCCATTGCAGGGTCTGCCCCATCAGTCGGTTTAGTCTGGGGTGTAAAAATTGTCAGACCTCATGTTGTTGAAGGCAGGCAGCATACCACCTCTCTTACTTGTCATTTTTCTCAGGAAATTTTAGCGGTCACGTTGTGATTCATCATTCTGTGGCGTGAGGTGTACTGCCAGCACGCCACCACTCCTTCGCGCGGGCTAGACATGTGGGTAAGGGAGAGAGCGAAGGAGAGAACACGAGTGTGGAGGTAGGGTCCCATCCCGAAGCCAGCAAGGGAAGAACAAAGTGGAGCGATGAAGTATAAGCCATATCAGAGTCCTTCAGGAGAAGCTGGAGCTGAAACGGGACATCCGGGAAACCCAGCTGGAGAACGAGGACGAGGCGAGCCTTTCAACCGTCGAAAGCAGGCGCCAAGAGGTCAGGCGAAGGCAAGCAATCGTTATTTGTGAGATTCGGGCGGAAGCTGCCGTTCATGCCTTTTTTTTGCGTAGTGGGGTTCCTTGGGCCGCCTGACTTCTGCTGGTCTTTTCTCGGGTCTGCCTGCTGCAGCCGGTCGCAGCCCAAAATACGTTCACTGTGACAGGTGGAGTCGGTGTTGTAGCTTTCACAAATTCTGACGAGCAAGTGCCGCGTGCCGGATCGCGGATAGTGTGGCGAATGTGAGGTGAAGATGATGCTGCAGGCCGGTGCTTCTTTTGCCTCCCTCACTCTGCTAGGCTACCAGGTCGAAGTGTCTTCACGTGGCCAGGGCTTCGCGAAGAGACTTCAGAATCTTCGCGACACCTTCGAGCAGAACCATCTTTCCCTTCAGGTTCGCAGCCGAAGCTGTGTCACGTTGGCCGACTGATGCGTTCGATGCATGCGCTTTTCTGAGGCTCAGTACGAGGAGCAGGTGGAGCAGCTGAAGATTGATTTAGAGCTCCGGCGCAAGGCCATCCTGGGGGGGACGTTTGGGGCTTGCCTGTTAAGCTGTGGAAGAGCTTGGAGTGAAGCGCTAGCGCCAGGTGGAGATCCACGAGATCGAGGAGCGCAAAAATCAGTCGAGACCCCATGCAAGATCTTCGGAATCAGAGAAGCCCGAGTTGGCTCACGGTGTCGCCCCGAGGCATATCAACGAGCTTCTCTTCAATCACCAGGAGGCTTTCGATGAGATCAAGGTGCCCGGCAAACGAACCTGGGGGGCTGTGCTGGTTTTGCAACCATCAGCTGCATGGAGGCCTACTACAACGACATCACCCATGACAACCTGCAACTAATAAAGTCTTTGAAGGCTGCTCGGGCGTGCGGGAAGCTCATGCTCTCCATTCTTTACCAAGCACAGCATCCAGGACGAAATCTTCGAGATGAAGGAAAAGGCCCTGTTCTCGGATTGTGGCATGCGGATGCCTGGGGAAGAAGAAAGCGCGTCCGGGCCAGGAGAAGACCAACAAGAAGAAGATGGACTTGCTCCGGCAGGCCGGCACGCGGCATGACGATGTAGAGAGGCATTAGGGCTCGGAACTTCTTGAATTTCCGAGGAGAACCGGGACCTCACCCGGCCCCTGGAGGCGCAGCGATCTTCGTTTACGTAGACTGTCGCCTTGTATGCACATACATAGTCTAGTGTATCAACATGTGAGGGAGAGCGGCCGAGTCTGAATGCAGCAACGTGTTCCTCGGAGCTCGCAGGAGAAGCTCAAACAGCAGCGGGCCTTGGAGGAGGAGCTCAAAACCTACACCAAGGACCATTGCCCGCAGTCCAGACATAGTCTACTCTTGAAATGTTCCCTTTCCGTTCTTGCTCTACCCGAGTGGGCAGGACAAGATGGCCCTGAAAAATTTGAAGGCGCACTTCAAGAAGCTCGAGGCCACCGGTGTGTCAGTCAAGGCATGTGTTGGAAACACCTCACAGTGCTGTGACTGCCGAGGAGCAAATCACGGAGGCCAAGCAGGAGTACAGGACTTGCGAGGCCCGGGCGAGACTGCGAGAGAGTAACAAGAGAGAGTGCAGCGTGGCAGCGGCGGCAGGACAAGTACCGGAAGATGGAGAAGGAGCGAGATGTCATCGGCCCACAACCTGCCGTGGCTCCTTGGAGCACTCGCGCGGCTCTGCGGTACTAAGGACTTGTACAAGCGCTTCAAGAAGGCAGTGCAAGAAATCCAGCGCAAGGTGGGTCCCCTGGGACCGAAACGTGAGACATATCATTCAAAGATATTCAAAGAGACCCCTCGACCCTCCAGGCAGAACTCGGGAAGAATGTCGTCCTGGAGAAGAAGCTCGAAACACTCGCGCAGCAGTTCGATGAGAATCTCGGCCAGCTCATGCTTCGCGCTGTCCCATTCCTCGGCTCGTGCAATGCAAGGAAGCAAGCGCAGCTCACCGAAGTCCTGACCAATGCAAGACTGGATCCGACCATTGTTGCCAATGTCACGAAGAAGTGGCGACCAGCACGCTTCCTTCACCGACCCTGCGGATAGGACAGTAAGACCTCTGATGCTCTGTGATGCGTGTTCGACGGCCGTTCTGCCAGGTTGGAGCAAGTCCTCGGTGCCAAGAACCGGCAGATCAAGGACCTCCAATACCAGGTCTGGACACATCGGCCTCTCCGTGCTTGCACTGCATTCGACTTGTCATGTCATGCCTAGGTTCACCAATCCACGAAGCAATACAACGACACCATCCGCGTCTACGCACCTCAGCTGAGAACAGAGCCTCCCTACACCCATAGTCTATAGGGTCTCAGCCCCCGCGCTGCCTTCTGGATGCTGTTCGGCGCCCGAACCTTCCTTCTTGAGACATCCTCAGGAGAGCAAGCTCCAGGGGCTGGGTGTCGATCCAGAGGAAATCGGCTTCGAGGCCAGGGCCAAAAAGCGCAGAGGCCGAGAGTAGCGGCGTTCAGGCTTTCAGAGCCCACAACCCGCAACCAGGCCATTCAGACGGCGACATCTCTGATGCCAGCGCGCCTGGTGACGCGAGCCTGCGACTTAGTTCTTTGTTTTTTACCGAAACACAGAAACTCACAGAAGGGTTAGGGGCTTCTCCGTCTTCTGCAACTAACCCTACACATTGTCGTCCTGGAGGTTGATAGAAGAGGGGGAAAGAGAACACTGAATACGGTTCTGAAATGATGTTACGCAAGAGTGCGTTGAATGAGATCATGATTTCATTAAAGTACGCCGTACTTCATTCTGTTGGCAACGTGCTTCATGTTGTTCTTCTGCCACTACTTGCTTACAATGAAACGACTGGAATGAATGAAGCACGAATTCATCACGCAGAACTTGCAAATTGATCCAACCCACTTAAGCATTCAGTGAAATTCATGATCTTCTTGAGCTCTCTTCCACGGTTGTCGTGCTCCATTTCAATATAAGATACAAGAGAGCGGAGTGTTGTGATTTACGCATGCTGCACGACATGACATGATGACTTCCAGGATGAGCAGTGGCGTCTTGTGATGTCGTTTGAACAATAGCACATTCATGTCTTTGCCATTCACAGTATTTTAATACATCCGTGACCACGAGGAAACGAGCCGGCAAGCAACACGCGTCCTTTTTCGGTGGCTGGTTTCGTGTGTTTCATGCTTAAAATTCCTCACTTAAACGTAATGTCGCAAAGTCAAAGCACCGTTCAAACCCAGAAGCACCAGCACCTTACACTCACCATCACTCACCAGCCTAATCTTCGATTCCAGATGCTGGTAAGCCTGGACGCAGTGAAAGTCGTTCGCTTGTTGGGTTCCATGTCTCAGCAAACAGCCCCACCACTGCAGTGTGAGGCCAGGGCTCCACGTACTGTCGTCATTCAGCTGCTGCCGACTTCCTTGTTTTGAACCCCTAAAGCCTCACCCTGCCTTTTGACCGAGCCCTGCTTCCATGCTTTCCCCGACGCATCTCGAGCACGGAGACCTTCTCCTCGAAGCGATGAGGCATTAAACGCAGCTGCACTCCAGATCCAGATGCCAAAAGCAAATCCTGTCGAGGTTTGTCGTGCTGCGTGGGTTCTTGTATTGAGGAGGCGGAGATGTCCTCACATGTCGCGCATTAGTCGGAGATGGGTGAAATTTTCCAAAACCAACGGCGTGGCAGCATCGACGATGGTACCGTGGGCGCTGTGTCTGAAGCCGTAAACGGTAGGACAAGCCTTCGAAAATCATAATAGCACCTTTCTTGCGAGTAGACATCGAGTCAGAGTCTGAGGGCAGTTGATCAACATCCCGAAGCTTAGCCTGCACCGGATTGAAGATCAGCGGGTAGACGCTGGAGCATTCGCAATACCATCCTAGGCTCATGGAGCGCACATAGGGTGCACCCTTCTGGATCTCCGCGACACCCAGGTGGGATGAGCCGGACGCGTGATCTCGAGAACTTGTGGCCGAATCATGTGCAGTGAACAAGAGCCGAAACCTGAGTGCACCAGTATAGGACCATAGGATTGTAGAACACTCACAGTGCTTTGCCAAGTTTCTGGCTTTTGCCTAGCAGAGACAGAGGCCGGCCATACGTGTCACTAGAGCAAACTCAGCTCTTTCACCCTATGTCTCACCGTTCCGGGATGCGTTCTTCGAAGGGCGTGTTCTTCATCAGTCTCACAAAAAATTTGCATGCAAACCACACAATCATCCTCTTGTAGTTTCTCTAAGTTCAGGAAACCCCGCAGCTACTGTAGTTCAAGTTCAACCTTGTTTGAAGTCGCAGGTGTGAGGGCTGGTCGCCATCATGTACAGGACCTCGAGTCTCGAGCACCACGGTCAGTCTCCGCATGCTCTGCGTGCGTTGCGCATCGTGCTTGGCACTTGCATCCGAAAAAGGCTTTTCTGAGAGCCAATTCCGGCGTGGAGTGACTTCTGCCTGAAGCGCGAATGAGGGCATGGGAGACTTCACCTTCTATAGCTTCATGGAGCCGAGCTACTCCGCCATGCAGATGGTCCCCTACACAGAGGCGAGTCCTCCTTAAGTCCTTTGAGAAGTCGCCACGATTCCACGTGTTCCGCCAGGTGGATCCTTCGTCGACCCAGCTGCAAGATGGGCAGGCGCAGCAGTCCTTGGCTTCGGTGGCTTCGGTGGCTTCCGGTGGTCTCCCGAAGGTCGTGCCGACCAGCGGTGGCCGCTTTGGGGATGCTGGCAAGGCGAGCGGTGCTGATGCCGCGTGGCCTCGACTGACCTCGAGTTTCTCAAGCCGCTCAGGTGTACTTCCAGCACGACACGATCCTTGATCTAAACAGGCTGGGATCCAAGGTGGATTCTGCGAACCGAATGCGCCCGGTGTTCAGGTCCTTCAGCTTCAAGCTCGCAGATGTGCAAGCCCCTCAGGTGGTCGAGCAGGAACGGGATCGGTAGAGAAAGGCGCGCAAAGCGTCGGAGACCTTGTGCCGCTTTCGCACGAAAGAGCCTTGCAAACGGCGACGGCGCAGGCAGGACGCAAAGCCGGTGGCAAGTGCAAGGCCAAAAGAGGGCTCGACGACGAAGCCGGCTCTCCAGTCACGTCATCCGTAATCTCACGTGCACTCGGCGATGTGGACACAGCTTGGCGACGAAACGAAAGCTTTTCTCAAGGAAGAAACTGCCAAAGGAACTGCCAAGGCCAGCGGTGTTCAAGAGCTCCTATTCTTGTCGGTACTTGAAGATCTGAAGCTCCTCTCCTGGAGCTTGAGACTAGGTGCTGATCGGGGGGGAGATGGGAAACTCCAGACTTGGCGGCCGGTTTTGGAAGCAACGCGTGGCTCACACGGGTCAATATTTTGCTTGCTGCTTGCGCCTCAGCCGTGGCGGCCCGGGAGCGTGCAACTGCTGGAGCTTTCGTGTCCCCGGACTCCCGGGCGCTACAGCAGAAAGCAAGCTGCCAGCAGTGGTGCCACCCATCCCTCGGTTTTCGGAGATTTTCGGAGGAGCATAGACGCTTTTTCGGTGTCCATCAGAGTCGCAGGTACTGCGTGGCACCGATTAAGAACCAGCTTTGTCGTGGCAGCCTCAGGATGCCTCAGGGCTTGAGAAGCCTCGCTCCCTGACCGTTGCAGCTGCTCAGGCGAGCCGTGCGGTCAGGATTTCTGGGCCGTCGGGCGGCTGGGATTGCGTCGTGAGCATGCTGCCAACGCTTGGAAGCTTGACTGCAGCTGCCAACCGAGGAAGAACTGCTGCACTGAGGACGCGCTCCCACGATAGCAAAAGTATTTAAAGCTATATCTCCAGGATGAGGAGACAACGACAGGAGGGATGCGAGTAATGGTCTCTGTCCCTGTCTTGTCTTGGGTCAGCAGGATGGCAGCAACTTCACCTGCGGCGATGCAGGGAGCCGCCGGGCCAAAAGCCAGGGCGCCAGCACGAAACAGACCTTCCAGGGCCGAGAGGAGAGGTTGAACGCGGACGCCCCCAGTGTCAGCGACTCAGGTGGCCTGAGGCTTATGGAGAACACCGACGTTCCATTCTACAGGCACTCTGCTTTCGGTTGAGGGGCCCGCTTCCCTCTCTTGGCTTGTCTCTGCAAAGTGCGCTGGGTCGGAGGCTCGCCGTGCTGCAGGCTGCGAGCAAGTTCAATGTCGGTTCCCGAGTCCTGAGAGCGGAATCTCGAATCTTTTTCCAGCCAAACAACACGGGCTCTGCTGCTAGCTGCTAGATTTGTACGACCGACACGCTGTCGTGTCAGACGTACAGCCGATAGACTCATCGAAAACGGAGGAAACGTACACGGCAAGTATTTCAAGTCGCAGGGCCATAGCAGCAAATCTGCATGTGGCTACACTTCTTCTGCTGCTAGTTCGTCACACCTGTGCTTCAGCAGCTCTACATCACTTTTGCTCGTCCGCATCTAGATAGACTCTTCAGCAAGAGACAGCCTTAAAGCGGCAAGCTCGGCCAGCAATTCACGATTGGGAAAGGCTCATTACCATGGGGTGTTTCAGTCAGCGTTCTTGCCGTCATCCTTTCTGACTCAGATGATCAGCCAGCACCCGGTCTTCTTCCACTGGCTAGAGGACAAACTTCCATTATCACGTACTGAAAGTGGATCGACCCCCGAAACCCACCCTAGGCGCCTCGTGCAGGCAGCTGTGCTTGCATGTGAGCCAGCCTTTGTTTGTGAATGCTCACTGCTTCCAGGACCCTGTGGCGGAACTGCACAGCTGGCAGCGGCAGGGATTCAGGCAACTTTCGTCACCGAATCTCGTTGCATTCTACTTTGGCTTCTGGGAGGCGTTTCGCGTTGGCGATGCTGGGCGCCTTCCTTGTGAGTGCCGCCACGCTGCTCGCTCTCAAGAGACTGTGGAGTTGTACTTGCTGGGTTCTGCTTTAGGTGGTCCTGCAAGGTTGTTCGTCGTCTTGCGCAGCATGGACCTGGCAATCAGCTGAAGGCCTGTGACTAGCGCGGAGACTTGAAAACAGTTGCGCGCCGGCACGGTGGGTGCAGGCACGAGATGCTTGTGCTGCGCTTTGTAGAGTCTTGCTCTGCTTCGGGATCGAGAACCCATGGCACTCTTATGACTTGCAAACACAGGATATGTTCTGAGCGTGAGACAGGGCCATCTCCTTCTCGTTGTGCTTGCAGGCTTAATGGGGACCATTTTAGTTCATGTCATGGTTGTGCCAAAGAAGTGAGGAGCCAACAAAGAGAAAGCAACTCGGCTGACTTCTCACGCTAGGGCAGCCAGGGTCAACATCAGCACTCCAACCATTCAGATGCAAACATAAGATCCAGCTTGTCGTTTTGAAGTCTGCCTCCGAGCGGCATGGCCGAGGACACGGCAGCCTTTACATAAATCGATCTTGAATTCTCCGTGGAGCCTTACGACTCGTACGACGCCAGCCCAGGATTGTGGGCGACTTTGCATTTGCGCAAACTGTTGCGGCCAGGATAAGCACAAGCTGTTTGTTGGCAGCTTACCGTGCCCAGCCCAGCTTGCTGTGTTAGTTTTTGTTTTGTAAGTGGCAGCTGGCAGTTTTCGAGGGTACGTTCAGCTGAAGCTAGTTCAGGCCAGACATTACGGATGATGAGATCAAGACCGCCTTCGGGACGTATGGTGTTGGGCTCGGTTCAGAGCGGCTGTCCACGGTGAGCTGTCATGATTCAGACGAGGCAACGTCCTGGAACACCACATCATGAGAGGTAAGTCTACTTCTGGGCAGGCCTCGCTGGGATGGGCACTGGCCCTAAAATTCTTGCAGGGCTGCCCTTAGATCACAGGAGCCTCTCTTCCTCCTCCTCCTTCGATCCGTTTTGTAAGCTCCCACCATAACATGCAGCTGCAATCTGTGCCAGGCCTGCGCGTTCGTGGTGTACGACAGGTCGGCACTCTGCACAGAATCCCCCAGAAGCATCCAGAAGCCATAGACGTAGGATGAGGTGTTGAACACACTGTGTGGTTTGGAACGGGCCGCCCTATCGCATAACTCTCGTAACTCTTTCCCCTCCTCCCGCCGCCATCTGACCTGTGACTGCTCAGTAAACCGTCTGGCGACAGCGCCATCAGCGGCATGGACAACGCGCTCACTTTGAGAGAGGCGCGGCCCCGGACATGCTCAGAGCAGATGTGTTTGTGCGGCCTTGTGTCGCGACAGGGAGGGAACCCAATCCGGGTGTCCTGGGCGAAGAATCAGCGTGGTGGCGGCGGCTTCTCCGGAGGTGGAGGAGGACACTCCGGCACACCTGCAGTTGCATGAAACTTCTTCGTGAAAGCCATGTTGTTTCGGCTACGTGCAGGCTGTGGTGGAGGCTTCGGCGGTAGCGGAGGCGGTGGGTATGGCGGCTGCGGAGCTTCCTATGGTGGCTTCGGTGGTGGCTGTGGAGGCTGCGGCGGCTTCGGTGGCTGCGGCTGCGGTGGCTGTGGCGGTGGCTGTGGCTGTGGCGGCTGCGGCTTTGGAGGATGCGGAGGCTGCGGTGGTTGTGGGGGTTGCGGTGGCTGCGGCCCTGGGGGCTGTGGCTGCGGTGGCTGCGGTGGCTGCGGTGGCTGCGGTGGCTGCGGCTGTGGCGGCTGGGGCAGCAGCCTTAGATGCCTTTCTCGTAGCAAGTTTCTTTTCAGGCCTGGTGACATCTTCCAGTCCATGTATGACAAACGTCTGAGAATGAGTGTCGGAGTAGGTTGACATCCGCCCTCCGACTCGCAGGGGGGGGGTTCCAGATTGATTGCCACTTCTTCATGGTGCAGTGCTTCCAGGGGCGGCGCAGCATAAACGCAGCGGAGGTTAGGAGTGGTTGTGCCAGTACATGAGCGACGCTCTTGTGTAAGGTGGCGGCTGCGGTTGCGGCGGTTGCGGCAAAGGCGGCCAGTGGCAAGGAGGTGGTGGCCAGTGGCAAGGGGGCGACGGCTCGCAGCCCAGACTCCTAGGTGCTGTGCACCTTTCGCCTCTGTAGCTCAGATGGGGCGCTTGAAGTTCCGAGTGTGCTGTGAGCATGAGCAAGGTGCCGCGGCAAAAGCGAAGCTTTTCGTCGGGTGCCGCAATCTTGCTTGAAGTTGTTTTTGGGGTTTAAGGGCGACCATGTGGAAACATGTCTTGTCTTCAGCAGCTAAGTTGGTGTGTCACCCTATTCTGCCCCCCGTCTTTTCCACGAGCTTGAGGCTTGATCCCGTACTTGTGAACTCTCAGAGCCTCTCAGAGGCTGCAGCGCTCGAAATAGCGTAGCCTTCGGGGTCCCGGGCCATTCAACAAGTCGCCAGGCAGAGGTATTTTCACGGCGCACCGTCGAAGATGGTGACGCAAACCTTGAAATCAAGGAGTTTCAAGTCTTCAGGGGCCGCCCAGAGGGTTGACGCATCTTCTAATACCTCACAGCAAGCCCCCTTCGCAAAAATTGAAGAGACAGTTTGCTAGGGATGCTGAGGTTGATGATTGTTTCTGTGCTTGCTACTAAAAGTCTGAGATCAAGCCGACGTATGTCACAGCATCTTGATCCGATTCGCTTGTTTCTTGCTTCCAACGCCTGGCGAGCCAGTCAGTCTTTGCTCCGGGTCACTTGACACAGTAAGCAGACGGATGCTCTCTAAACTCTAGCTGTAGGACATGGGAATGTCGGTTGCATTCGGTTGCCAGGAATCTCCCGCCGGACATCACACCTGAGGCGGCGACATGCGGCGACTGAATGTGAAGTACATGAAGTCACGTGTGCCGCTGTTCGTTGCGTGGACATGTAGGTTCTGACACAAGTCTTTGGGACTTATGGCAATGTCCGGGCCTCAATCGCAGAATGGAGGAGAATGCAAGCATGCATCCATCCATCCTTCCATCCATCCATCCATCCATCCATCCATCCATCCATCCATGGATGCATCCATGCATTCATGCATGCATGCATGCTTGCATGCATACATACCTGCCTGCATGCACCCGTGCAACTCCCGTGCACACATGCAGAACAGCACAACTGCACAGGCGCATCTATATGTATATGTATACCCATATGTACATACATGCATACATTTGTAGGTGTAAATGTTATGTCAGCATGCATACCTGCGCGCATGCATATGCAGTTACTTGTTGCATCTGCTTACGCATGCCAAGTACGCCTGTGTCACTGTGTCACCTGTGTATACTGGTCTTCCAGAGCTCGTTCAGCTACCGTACGTCGGCTCCGAGGTCGTCAACGTCCACGTCATGGCCGGCAAGTCCAAGAGCGGTCAGAGCTGTGCCTTTGTCGAGTGCGCTGACAGATGGCCATGCCAAGAGCTCTACGTCTGTGCAACCACAAACCGTATGGGCGAGTGTGAAGGGCTAGCAGTATGCACCAGCATCTGACACAGGTACTCCAACACCACAGAAGCCGAAACTGCTGTTCAACCCTCAGATTGGCCATCGCCAAAATTCAACACTCCCGGCAGTAGCGAAATTCATGACTGTTGGGCCTGGCGGTGGTGCCCTTAGACCCGGGGGGAGGTTGGCTCCGGCACGACAGCTGAAGCAGAGGCATAATGCTGACGTGTGAACGAAATCGGTGGCAGGTTCTGACGCTTCATGAGAAGTATGAGATTCGTCCAGGCGTGATGCTGATGATGCAGTGGTTTGTGAAAGGGAAGGTCCGTCTGTTTGTGTCAGATTGTGTCATAGTATTGACAGGAGATGGGCACATCCTCGTGAAATTTGCGCAGTCTGGCAGTTCTCGCCCGGGCCCGCTCGGAGCCCAGTCAGTGCCCAATCGCTTTGCTTCCGTTACCGAACAGCCAAGCTGAGGTATTAGTGACTTCATGACGGATGGCAAGGACCCGAGAATTGGTCTACCGAGCTCGGAAGCTCTCAACATAAGTTTGTGGCGGAGGTCGACGGGAACCTGGTTGAGGGGCGATGCTCCGAGCCTGATGCCCTCGTCGAGTAGAGAGCTGCAGCTTTCTGAAAAACAAGCGTGGCGTTCCGACTGTAGGAGCCGCAGGTTTCAGTGATCAACATGGTTGCATTCCTCAGAAGCATTCATGACTGATGCCGCACTGCAAGCTTCGATTCTTAGACGAGTTTGCTACGCCTGCGTTGAGTTCAGACCCCCAGCAGAGACCTCAACCGTGCTCGGTGTTTCTGAACGAACGCAGCGTCGATTTGGATTTAAATGTATTTAGGATGGGTTCAGGTGTGTTTGGGGTGTTCCCAGCTGAAGTCTCTTCTGATCCCGACACGCTCCCCCGATGTGCACGTGAACAGCCGCAGCCGACCAGCCTTCGTCTTCATGGAAACAGGCGGTGGACAGTTCGAAAGGGCTTACACATGGAACCGCAGCCGTGCATGCCGGGCAAGGTAGAGGGTCAGAGTTCGTTCAGCAACGGCATGAAGATGTTTTGGGGGTTGACGGTGATTTGAGATTGCGTGTTAAATTTTGCTGACATCAGGGCAGTGTCGGGGTTAGGGCACCATCCGAGCGCCACACGAAAAAACTTGACAACTGGCAAGTCACGCCAGCTTGCAACATCCGAAGCACCGACACCCTTCCCAGCTCTTACAAGTAGCAAGCCAAAGCCCGGGCACAGGTGTGTTTCACGCGGAACTAAAATGCAAGGATCTGCCGAACCGTCCGCGAACTCTTTTTTGGAGACGATGAGTTTAAGCTGTTCGACGATGAACATGAACGTAGTAGAAGTACAGGACTTTTCCAGATGCGAGTGCTGTCGAGTCGACCGGCGCATCTCGCATGGGTGCATATTCCTCGAAGGGCTTGCGGAATAAGCTCGCGATGTGAGACAGCCTCATGTCTGATCATGAAGGGGTCCACCCTATCGCTTGAGCAAATCGAAGCGATTGCTGCCCTTGGGCTCTCAGAGTCGTTTTTTGGGCGGGCGTCTGCGCGACTCCGCCCAGGTGCCTTGTCCTGTCCATAACCGGTGGATCTCTGTGCGGGGGTTTGCTGGGTCTGTGCTTGCACTGCTCTGAGGCTGAAACATGTGGGGGCCCTAGTGAGCGGTGCACTGAACGACTGCACAGGTGCGTGTTTAATGAGGTTTCCTTACCCTTAGGTCTTCTCAGCCACCAGCTTTCCCAACCCGTGGTTTGAGATGGTGTCAATGCACTCTGCCCGTTGCTGAGGGCTGAAGGGGAGGACGGATACGACGAGAAGGAACGGATGCATGAAAGCACGTATCGGTTTCATGAATTCTTCGTGAGGCCAACCTCCTGTCCCTCTCTCTCTCTCTCTCTCTCTCTCTCTCTCTCTCTCTCTCTCTCTCTTTCACCTTCTCACTATGAACAAGTCAACGTGACTGCAATGCGTCCAAGACGCTATGGCTATGGCAATGTTACTTTCGTTGCACCAGCGCCCGAGTCTCTCGCGGACTCGACTCGGCAGGATAAGGGACCACTGGTCTACCAAGAGAGCAAGCTCTTCAATAGCGAGGTTGGTTTTTCAAGACGGCATGATAATATCATTTCGGTAGGCCTTGTTTGCAGAACCATTCTGACGTTTATCTTGCTTCCTGGCAGACTTTCCTGATCAACGTATACGACCATACGAAGCGGCGGGCAGTCACTTTCGAAACCTATGGCCTGGAGACGCAGGATCAGCGGGAGCTCTCAGCTGAAGGGTCCATTGGGCAGCTGTCTCGCGCGCCGTGCTGTCAGCACAGCGGAACTTCAGGTTTCACATCCAGTACAGCTACCAGGACTTCGATGGACTCTTTCGCTTCAATGCCAGAAGCTTGTTGAGGGAAGCTGGTGTCAGTGTTTAGAGAAGGGATGTCCTTAAGGCCGAGCTGATGAACCCCAATCGGAAAGAAGGCGGCTTGATTTTGCTCGGCTAGAGGGAAGCTCCGAGTCACTACTTGGCTGTTGCTGGAAGTGTCGGTGTGACAGAGGCCGATTTCATTGGATTGCGGAGCGACTGGCCATTCTCACGGTGCTTTGGCCGAAATCAGCTGACATGCAGAGGCTGAGGTGACACGGGTGGCGCTGTAGATTCAGGTCGGAAAAGACCGGCAGCTGAAGCTGCAGCCGGAGCCGACACCAGAGGCTCAACCGTTAAGCAGTCGAAGCTCTTCGAAGTTCTAGAGTCCAGAGACTCGCAGGTGCCCGAGCTTCCCATTTATGAGACTGTGCGAAAGATCCCCACGGGACGCATGGACCGCCAGGGCAATCGCATGATGAAAAGTCTGCAGCTGTTGTCAGCAGCCGTACTTCGCCGAAATGCGGTGACGTTGACAGGACTTGAAAGAGCGTCAAAGGTTGCGCGAACAAATGGACATGCCTTTGGCCTAGATGTTGATGTTGACGAGAAGCTTCCCCTGGGCTGTTCTTGAGTGTCTCTTCCGTGTGTATGCGTGCAATTTTGTGCAGAGCCATATGGGAAATCGCTAAGGCTAGACATCAAGCGCAATGAGAACATTGCGAAGCGCAAGCAGGAGTCCAGACAGAAGTTTCTGCAACATGTGCGGAGCCTGGAAGCCGCGCTTGGAGGGCCTTCGCTGAGGGTTTATAGTGCTGCCACTTTAGACTTTAGGTCTTCTGGCTGAAGGAGGAGGACAAGAGGCGAGTGGCTCAATCAATCTCGCACCCATGTTGAATGGCGCTGAATGTCGACGTCATGTAAGAAGCGTGCTGACACTGGCTGGCGGCTGGCATAAAGTTGGTGAGCTCTGCTGGATCCCTGGCGAGGCTCAAGCGGGAGCATCACGAGAAGCTCGAAGCCGAGCGCACTCGTCGAGCCTGGCACTCGTGTGATTTGTGAAGCAGAAGTTTCAGTTTTTGCCCGCATTCGTGGTGCACGTGCTGGATGCAACCGGTTTGGAAGGTCCAGATGAAGGAAGAGCTCGAAAGAAGACAAAAGGAGGTCCCTGTTGGACACTGCAAATGAGCGCTGAGAATCAGGGCGCCCGCCGTCGTCAACCGCAGGCGAGCCGCCTCGAGAAGGAGCGACAGCGACAGCGCCGAATTGCCGTCGAGGCCGGGAAGCGAGGCAGAAAACCTCTTCGTGACTGAATCAAACACGCCGTGGCCCCCAAGGCAAAGGAGGAGCGCATCGAAGAGCGCGATGCGGAAGACTACAGGACCTGGGCTCAGCTTCTCGGACTCAGACACGCGTTCGTGCTCGCTCATTTGTGTTTGAGGCAGCTCCGCGCCAGATGGAAGATGCGCGACGCCGAGCGAGCCAAGGCCAAGGGAGAGTGCAGAGCAGGAAAAAACAAGGGCGAAGATTTCTCCTTAGACTGCGACTCTCAGGCGATCGCAGAGGCCATCGGGCGCAAGGCCAGCTCTGCTGGGAGATGTCCGCCGCGGGGCGTTTGCTGGAGCTTCGGCCCGTGGCCCGTGACAGGAGCTTGACCTTGCGGAGCTGCGCAAGAAGCAGGCCGAGGCCTGCTTGGACCGCGGTCCAAGCGCCAGTGGGCTGTGATTAGCCGTGTGGAGTGCCTCTGTTGGGGCCAGGAAAAGAAGGAGGCGGAAGAGATCATGCGAAAGCGTCAGGCAAGGCTTGTCGGATTTCATGTAGGCACACTTCGACGGATCACAGCTGCGGCTTTGTAGCCTCGTAGCTCCTTCAACCAGAGGCCGTTCCGTTCTCGAATCGGGACGTGAAAGCTGGAAATCAGAAGCCGCAACATATTAGCAACAGCAGACACCATACTGTGACGCTGGGGACTGGCACAGATCAGTTGTCATTTGCTAGCTGCTAGGGCGCCTGGGACGCCCGAGAGGAGCCGTGACTTGCTGTGCTTAAAGCTGTCCTTGAAGACCCGCACATGCGCAATGACAATGCTCGTGAAAAGAGGTTGAAACATTGAACAGCTCGTCTTTCCAGCGCAGTGTGCATTGCTTGTGCGCAAGGAGCGAATTCGCCGAAAAAGCCAAGCATGGCTGAAAGCAGTGTGCGGCTAAGCAAATTCCCCTCTGCTTTGCCACCGCTGTGTCGTGATCGTGTTCAACAGGATGCTCCATTTGCCAGGAACACTAATTCAAGCGAATTCTCGCAGATTCCCGAAGTCATGTCAGGTCCTCGAAGTCAAGGCTGAACGGTTGCGTATGGCCAAGATGATGCAGGACAGCATGCTCGACTGCCTGGCAGGGCACGGAAGGTTCGTTCGTGACGTGCTGCTCTGATATGTCAGGAGCGAAATCAGGAGTATTTGAATTTGCTCCATAGCCTCCGACAGCCGATCTTCGAGGCCTCGTTTGGCACCCTCTGACACAGAGATACGCAGAGCACAGTCTCGCCAGCCCAGGCGCAGCTAAAGAGGATGGAGGAGCGCAAGATGGCCGTGGGCCAAGCACGGCCTCTGACTGAATGCACATCGTTGCTTGCAGTGCTGCAGGCTGCAGAGGCAATTGCCCAGTCGACAGCCGCGTGCCGCCCCTAGAGCCCCTCCCTGCCCCCCCTGCCCCTCACTGCAGCCCTTCGTTCTAGTCGTAGGCTCCTAGAGCTTCTCCTGTCTCCTAGTCCTACGTAAGCCGTAAGCACGTGGACATCGCAAGCACAGACCACGCTCGCAGCAGTTTTGTTTATCATCGGTGTTGGGTGTGCTATGAGGTACCACGAGAAGCGTGCAGTACCGAAGAAGGTAAAGAAGAAGGGCAAGTCCGATTCTCAGTTTTTGCCGAAGCGGCCCGGAGTTGAGCCATTCCCCCTTCAGGAATGCGCAGAAGGACGACATGTCCAAGGCCGCAGCACTGTCTGAGTGGTCGCTGGTCCATCCTCGCACGTGGCTCCAGGAGGGCAACAAGCGGTCTAGCCGCACGGGTGTCCAGGACAGGGTCGCCAGATGACGCCAGCGAAACTCCATGAGTCTGGTGTCGCTCGCCGAGCCTGCCCTGGTGAAAAGGATTCTGGCAAGTCAGACACGGATAAAGTCCTAGATGCCGTGGAAGCCAAGATGCGCGCCGCCCCCTCAGAGCACGTGCGTTCTTCGGAGTCTGTCTGGCCTTGTCTCGACTTGCGAACCCGTCATTGTCCCCGCCTATCATGGTCTGGGCAGTGCAGACTGTCAACAGATAGAGTGTCCGAAGACCTTCCGAAGGCTGAGATGGAAGAGCAGCACCGACGAGCAAAGTCCATGCCTCGACAAATCTTAAGCCCAGCTGAAACAGCTTCTGAAAGAGCTTCCTCCAACAGCAGCCACGAGGTTTGAGAGACTGCGTGACAAGCGCATCAAAGACCTCCAGGAGGCACCTGCATCGGTCCCTGCGTGAGAGGCTGTTGCTCTTGTTGCTGTGGTTGTTGGACAGGCTCGAAAGCAAAAGTGCGCCGCCCACATGGCTGCCATCGGCTCGGACTGGTGCGATTATGTGCCAGCAAGGTATTTCAGACACAAACTGCCTGCAGAAAGACTCAGTGGTGGCTCATGACCAACCTCTGCAATCAGTACATCTGTCAAGCTCGAACAGACCTTTCACTCATTGACTCATTCCATCGGTTAGGAGGCCAGGGCCCATGCATCTTAAGCTCTCTACCGCAATAACTCATTCCAGCCTTGCTTCCCCAAGGACATGACTCGCTGACAGCACTGTTTGGCATATCTTCATCGGCTTTTCATAGCTGTCAGATTCAGATTATACTCGCATAGTGGAGACCTCTGTCAGACTGCATGCTAACGTTGCCGGCGTCATGTCTTGACGCGTCCTCCGGCAAGTTGGCATGGAGGCCTCTGCTTTCGCTGTCTTGTATGAAGTTTCCACACAACGGGGCCGATGTGGAGTGGAGTGGAAGTTGGCGGACAGCAAAATCCAGGCTTGCTTGAGACGACACGACATAGAGACATAGCTAGAGAGATGGATTCCGCAGCAGCGGAGGCTGCAGGTAAGAATCGCCCAGGCAGTCAAGGTGTGGGAAGGGGGCCTGGTGAGGAACGTGCATTTAGAGACACGGTCTTCCAACCTTCAGCGCCCTCTTGTATCGGCAGGGCCCGGAATCGATCGAGGGACCACATAGAATCCACTGCCAGAACCGAAGTTTGGAGTGAGACATGAACGGTCGTCGCGCGCTGAAGTGTTATGTGCGCAGCGCAGCGCAAGTGCAAGATGTCGAAAGTGCAGCTTACACTTGGAGAACAAGTCGCGTGAGAACAACAACCCAAGCCCAAGTGGCAACTCGGGCTCACCGTCTAGAAGCATCGAAAGCTGACAAGATGCCAGCAACCCTGATATCAGTGTAGTGTTGGGTCTTTGGGTTGCGAGATGGTTTTCTCGTACATGCCTTGATGCATCCCGCACACCGCACCATGCTTAAATGCTGGCAAAATTGGGACTCGTGCAGTGGATCTTGCAATTGAAAAACTCAGCACTGAGCTCCACAGTCTGCTGTATCTGCATTCAAGCTCCTCGCTCGAGGCTTTCGAACTGGACTCAGAGCCATCAGAACCCTCGGCACAGCGTCGGAGCCTTGTCCTAGACAGCGATGGCTCCTTCCATTCTGGCCAGGCACGGATCGGGAGCCCGGAAGGGAAGGTCTAAGGTCACCAAACGTGCGCTTGTCTTTGTGACCTCAGAGGCGGCTTCCGCCGGCAGTACGCCTGGAGGTGGAAGCAGCTTCAGTGCCTACGTCAACGCGACGAACACCATCCTTGGACCGTCTTTGATTGAAAAGCGGATGGGTGTTTTTTTTTAATTTCTCTGATTGGCGGCATCGCAGGAGCTGGCACCCTGGCTGTGCCGATAGCGATGAGCAGCGCAGGCCCGAGTGGTTTTGGCAGCATGGCATGCGGCCACCCCGTGAAGAGACGCTGTCGCAGGACTTGTTTCCTACGAGCTGATCACGCTCTTCGTGGTTGCAGTGAACTTTACGACCGTGAATTGGCTGGCGACGGTGTCGGACCATCTGCCGAAAGGGACGCCACGCAACTACGAAGGCATCTCTCGTAAGTACCTTGGGGCGGCTGCGTCCCACGTAATCTCTCTTGTTTTCATTTTCGGAAGTCTGTCCCTCTGCATGTCGTACATGCTCTTCACAGCACAGTCGCTGGCCCCCATCGTGGCCGGCTGGATGTCACCTTCTGCACTTCCCAGTGAATCAGAGGTGAGCCGCCTGTCTCGGATACTTCTCTGGGCCTTGGGGCTTGGAGTGGTGCTACCTGTAAGCCTGTTGCGGGACATCTCAAAGCTGAAATTCACTTCGACTGTAGCGATCTTTGCTTTGGCCTATGCTGCTGGATTCATTGTCTTCTGCAACCTGGAAGCCCTCGCGGTGCAGCCCAGAGCAGGCAATGGCTTCCAGCTTGTCAATATGCACTCTGACTTCTTTCTCAGCTTGGCCATGACAACTTCCAACTTTTCTTGCCACATTTCTGCAATTCCCATCTATGAGTCCCTAGCTTCGAGAAATGCTTCTACAATGAAGAGGGTGGTGGCATTGGCCTTGGGGACTTCTGCGCTCTTCTACCAAGTGGTTGGACTAACCAGCTATTGTCGCTTCGGCCGACTGGAGGCTGGCCAGGGCAATATTTTGGAAGTGGTGGCCGAGAGTATTAGCCTCCTGGAAACGCCTTTGAGATTCGCATTGGAGCCTCAGTTGAGTGAGTATGCCGTGTCGTGTTGACAGTTTTCGGAAGCTCTGAGAGGGCTGGTGCAGTGCGGGGTGGGCAGGTATCTGTTGCCAGTGCCGGCGTCGCGTTCTGTCTGGCTTTTTCCATGCCGGTGGTAATATGGGCTCTTCGTTCTGTCATCCTGAGCTACTACCAAGCGGCCTGTGCTGCACAGGCTCGCAGCGCAGGGCTGCCGGAAGAGGCTGGCCAATCAAAAACACGGCACCGGCATCAACGTTGGCTGTCGCGTCACTTCCGGGTGTTTTCACCTTTCATTCGTAGGGGGATACGTTATGGCTACGGAGTTATCACTTCTGCACTGGTGGAACAGACTCTGATGCTGGATTTTTGGTTTAAGGCTGTCGCCTCACTTTCGATCTTAGCTGCTGTTTCTTGGCTCGTTCGGAGTGGGACGTGCTATCTGAGCGGCATGGATCCCGCAACATGCTAAAGGTATTTCTACTGAGTGGGGGTTTGTGGGTCGTGTCGGACATGAGCATGTGCATGCTTGCAGTGACGTACGCAGAAAGAAGATCCCAGAAGTGGCATCCCAGCTATTGACATAGACGGTATTTATGTCACGAGTCGCGAATTTTTTGCGTGGATGTATCTTTTTTAAAAAGAGAGGCAACAGCTAAAGCACATCCCGTCAGAAGATGGAGATTCCGAGGCAGTAGAGCCTCGTTGCAAGGGTTAGCTGCAAAGACATGAGTGTTCATCGCGAGGCGCCGTGTTCCGTGCACGTGTTTCTGCTTCTGTCTGCCTGCGGGGCAGGAAGTCTTTGAGATTGAGAATGGCGAACCCTCAATGCTGGAATGGTGCATTGCTACCTGTTTTATCATGGTGGTGATTCTCACTCTTGCGACATTGGTCCCGGATGTCCAAGTGATCATGTCTTTAGGCGGATCACTTGGAGGCACTTTCATTGCATTTATGTACCCGGCCTTGTTCCGCCTAACGGTTGTTAAGAAAGTGCGATCGGCACGCGAGATGCTGCGGCTGGAGCACGGTGCAGAGCTCGGTGTCATCGGCCTAAGCATCCTCTACGGCATTCTCTGTCTGTCAATTTCGCTGAGAAAAGTGTACAAGGAGTTTCTGGAGTCTTCTGAGCCCGACCCTGCGACAGTCACTTCTACGACAGCCACTGTGACTGTGACGACGACAACGGCAGCAGCGCTTATGCCTGTGTTTGAGATGTAGCTTACCGCAGAGCGGTCCATGCGCGGTCAGCAGAAAAGGAATTACCGTCGGTGGAGTGCGAAGCTGTGCGCATTCTGTCTCGTGCTTCCAGTTGGACTGATGGTTCCAAGGAAGTGAGGGAAGCATACCGAAAGAAGAAGTTCGAAGAGGAGCAGAAGGTCCAAAGTACAGCCTGTTCCATATTTTCGATTCGCGCGTGTGTGAGTCGTCCTTAAACTTGTCCAACACGCAGGCAACTGAACGACGGCTGATTCAGAAGGAGAGGGAGGCGAGTTCCACGAAACGTTAATTCTGGATGCAGGGATCCTGCACAAGTTTTTCTTGGATCCTTGGCAGATCGTGCATTGACCATTCCCTGGCAAGGCTGAAATCCAGGCGTCCGCGGAGAAGAAGAAGCAGGACGACTTAGAAAATCGTTTCAAGCTTAAGGCCGAGCGCCTTTAGCTAAACCTGTAATGCCCAGCGGGCGCCGCCGTCTTGGTCTCGTCATGATATGCTCGCGAACATCTCACTCGTGGCGTTGTCTTCGTTGTGCACGTGCATCTCCGTCACAACAGAAGGTGCTTGTTGTCAAAGAAGTGCCTAGCGGCCTAGCGATGGGGTGATGCATGTTAACTCTATGGTAAGTGCTTTGGGCAGGACCTGGAACGCCTCCAACGCCTACGTGACCAGAACATCCTCCGCAAGGCAGGTTTTTGCAGTGTTGCCTGCATGTGGTGAAGACTCGTGGACGGCGCGCAGGAGAAGGAGCGCATTGCCCGTCTGGCGGCGATGGCCGCTTAACGCATTGCCGGAGGCTTGCCGTCAGGTGAGCTTCAAGGCACTGTGTGAAAGCGCGATGCGGCTGTCAGGTTGTGTGGGCTGTGCCCAGAGATGGCACGGTCCAACGATCTCCCAGCAGGGTTCCGTGCGGTTGCATGCTCAAGACATCCACTTGTGACTCAGATTCTTTAGCAGTTTTCCTCCCTCGCGATTTGCACGCAAGCAGCACGTTGTTTCACCCAGCCCGAAGTGTCTCACCTGCTTCACAAGACTGTGGAGTTGGGGAACCCCTTATGGAAGGTGCCACCAGAAGTCAACACACGAAGCTGGCCAGTTAGGATGGAGCCAAGCTCTGTTCAAGGAGGGTCCCGAATTCAGCGCCGAAAGACGCGGCTTTCCAAGTTATTTTCAACAAAAAGGCAGCGAAGACTGGCCGGGAAGGAGTCTGATGGGGAGGTCTACGACGCAAGGAGGATTAGCAATGTGCAAGCGATGGCTCCAACTCTAAGCGGTTTCGATTTCGTTCATCCCACAGACATAGGCGGTGGCTGACTTTATGCTGCGTTTTCAGAGCTACGGACGTACCACACTCGGGTGAACCCGTGAATCCAGCAGCACACAGTACGAAGCCAAGGCAGGATCATTTAATAGGCGCATCATGTGATGAGATGACGGAGAAAGCAAATGGCGGTAACGCCGACGAGGAGGCAGGATTGGTTGGTTGGGACATGATTTTCTTGCAGATATCAATAAGATGTGAATCCCTACCTGTGTGTCCAGGAAGCGGTTATTGCATCCGATATCAACTTGCAACAGCAGTCTGGACCTAAATGCGCACTTCCTGGCAAGAAACGGGCTGACCCCCTGCTTTGGTTGGGTGCCCTAGGCTCTTCGCCCTGTTGGCTCCTCATCGGAAGGTGGAGCCGCGGGACGAGGAAGGCATCAGCAAGCATCGATGCAAGACAGAAACTTGTTGGAGGTCGTTGGTCAGTCTGTTTGTGACGTAATGCCTGGTGCATTTCTGCCGATCTGCAGGCAACAGTGGAGCCTTGCCGGCAGCCCAGCTAAAGCTTGCCCGGAATGTTTCAGCAGCCAGGAGGACCAAAACACATCATGGAAGTTGTGCTCGGCTCCATAGCTGCAGGCTGGAGCTGGTGGCTGAGACCCCGGCGAGCGAGCGGGATGCCAAGGCAGCCGAACTTAGGGCCGGCCCCGGCCCCTCACTCTGTGGGGGATTTTGGGCGTGAGAATGCTTAGCATCCCTGAGAAGGCCGTTCGGGACGAGGTGCCGAAAGGCTGGCGCTGTGTCCACGAAAACTGGACTGTTGTCCTGGAGCTCTCGAATCCGAGCAGGTCGAGGGGCAGAGGCCCACGCGTCTTCTCAGTCACGTTGCCAAGCATCATCCGTGCGCACGATAGCTTGACTAGTCACTCGTGCAGTTATCTCCATTCTATGATTTACTTTTACCTCCGCCCGCGCTTTGAGCATTTGATGCCCCAAGTGCCAGCCCTTCGTTGCTCCTTCGCACGGTAAGCTCCGCTTTTCAGCCGGCAGCGGGAAGCTTCCCTCAGCACTTCGCAGTGCACGTGTCAGGCTTCTCTAACACCGAGCTGTGTCGTGGAGCTGGCTCTTCCGGCTAGAGTTGCATGTGGGCGCATGCGGCAGCAGACTGGCATGATGGGAGCTTGGATGAGCTTGGCAGCTACCTCAGCTTGTTGAAGTGTTGCTGCGGGAAAGAGCATGGACCCTGTTAGAGTGTTCCCTTCGAGCTTTCTTGAAGTGTCATTTGTCATGCCAGAATGCTCCGCGACAAGAAGCGGCGCAGGAGAACGATGCAGGTGCGCACAGCGAAGCCTCCACTGTGCCTCGCGTTGCCTTGCCTTGCCGTGCTGCCCTGCTGCGAAGCTGCGCGAAGCCGCGCGAAGCCTCCGCAGATGGCGACACCGAGCCCGAGTCGAAGAGTTTGTCGGAAGCTTCGGAAGCGACGGCCCCGGACTTTCCGTGAGAGTCCGGGCGTATTGGCGGGTGGCAGTGCGCTGCGGCGCGGTGTGTCTTCGTCTCGAGGATGGCCTGGCCCAGATCGAAGACGAAGACACGGAGGAGGCATTGTGATGGTGGGGGGCTACTCTGTTACTCTGTGGGGGGCAGCAGGAGGGGGGTGGGGGGGGGGGGTTAAGGCTAAGGGCTGCATTTCCAGGAGGAGGACGCCTGCATGGAGGAGGCGGGCTCGGTGTTTCCAAAGTGACAATCAATATATGGGCATGAGCTTGTCAACTACTGTAACTACTTACCTGGAAGGTCATGGCGCGGCCAGTGGAGGTAGAGGAGCTGCCGAGAAAGGCCCATGCGAAGCCATGCCTCACGGCTTCTGTTTCGCGCGAGTCTTTTCTCCATGCCGAAGGCGCCCGCGGCGCTCGTGATCCCAGAGTTACCGCCCAGGCGCCGGGCAGCGCCCTCCACAGCCGTGGTGGGTGGGGGGGCACCGCAAAAGGACGATTTTCTGGTGACGAGACGTCAGGCTGAAGCTCCTGAAGCAGTTGATAGAGGCTCCCGAAGACCTCTTCGCGGTCCTCAGATGTCTCGAAGTCTTGTCCCTTCTGACTCTGACCTCCCTTTGCTTGCGAGTGCGGCGCGTGCTACGTGGCTATGTCTGCTATGTGCGGCCTTGCAGGCGCCTGGAGGTGCTTGTGAGGCGCCTGGGCCCCTGAGGACCGTATGAAGCCTCCAAAGACGGCTTCGCTGCTTCGCAACTCTGAGGGCCCAGATGACCTATCAAGACTTCTTGCGACGGCTGCTGCCTCGGAGTCTCGGAGCTGAGGGCCCAAGGCATGGCCATGAGATCCATGAGTCATGAGTGTTTTATTTACATCCCGTCTCTAGGCTTTGTCAGCGCGCTGCTGAGAACGGCCGAAGCGATGCGGCCCGCAGCAAAGTGCCAGGACCTCGTGAGGTCGTGAAGCTGTAAATTCGAAAGATGTTGACCGAGGCCCAAGGCAGCAAGCCTCCTTTCGGCATGTCGTGCAGACTTGGTATCCAAACCGGATCTCCTTCACGACCAGTCTTGCACTCTCCCATCCTGAGATCTGAAGCAAATGCAGTTCTTTGCGCCTTCAAGGATTTACCTGCAACTCCGAATCGCAGGAGGGTGGTTGATCTGTGCCCTAGAGTAAATGAACAAGGACTAGTTGCAGGCAAACCAAAATGCATCCGCTGGGAAGTCACTCCGGTTGTGCGTCCTCCAACCATGGCAACAGTACTACCATGTACCACCCCAGCTGCGTGGGCCAGCGTCCAATGAGCTAGGACTAGCATCCGCGAGTTCACGACACCTTGAACCCTTTGTGAGGTCTTTCAGTATGAAGACCACTCCGGTGATGAAGTTCGCCACTTTTGCACGGCATCGTCGCCTGCACGGTCCGGTGGTGGAGGAGAGCACTAGACTCACCCGGAGCAAGCTCCTTACATTAGCCGAGCGTCTGCACTCTCGCAGGGGTCCATCGTGGTCGTGGCGGCCTTGGGGCCTCATGAACGATAGGGCCTCCGGGCCTCCATTCGGCTAAAGCAGGCAGCAGGAGGCATCTCTGAGAAGGGATGCATTCTGAGGATGACGACGAGGATGCAGGCAGCCGTGACCAAGACGAAAAGGCACAAGTTGACGGGTCTATGCTGTTTGGCATTTGCTCCGCTGCTTTTGGCATGCTGGTGTCTTCGGCTGCGGCGCAGGTGCCCATGGCACCGCTCCCGAAGGTTGCCGAGCCCGGGCGCCCCGAGGCTCCGACGGAGGCAAGTCAAGAGTCGAGGGATGCTGCGAGTGCGACTGGCATCTTTGCATTATCTTGCCCCCTTGCCCTCGCTTTGCAGGCCAGGAAGGAGCTAGATGCAGCATACCAGGCAAGACGTAGCAAACACTGTGCCGGCGTCTCTGCACGTGTCTTGGTCAGTCGCATGCTGGGTGCATTGGAAGGCACCGACGGCTTGCGTGGCGTTGCTGCGAAAGTATCTCAGCCAGGAGCACACGCTTCCAAGATCTCTCGGCTAACACTGCCGAGGGCTAAACGGATAAACATAAGAGGAGGAGGGCCTTGAGACAGCACGGCAGCATACGACGATCGCTATTTTCGGGGCACTGAAGGGTCTCCAAGACGACAGAGAAGTGCGACTTGCAACACAGCCGAAGAGCATGCTGCCAGGAGCGCTTCCTGGGTGCGTTGAACGGTGCTTTGATTTTCGAGGCTGCGACTTCGCGGGCTTCGCTCCAAACCCCAGAAAGTCCCAGAATTGTCGGCGGCCATGACAAGTCGGGGATAGGATAAGCGACCTAGCTGATTCTGCCGACATGCCTGCTATGGTTCGATGTTTGCCCACGGCCAGATTCAAACAAAGGCCGCATCAGTAGCAGCAGCTGAGTGACAGGCTCAGGTTTTGAGGCAGGGTTGTCCAAAATGAAGTTGCCGGCGCAGGCTGACGGAGTCCAATACCCTTTGCACGGGGTCTCAGACGAGTCGGAGCTCTCTGACATGATAAGGGCCAAACTTTGGCGGTGGCCCATACCGAGGCAGACGGTCACACCGGTGCGCTGCACCCCTTCCACGGGCTCAGAGCTACTCAGCCAGGGCCCTGGTGGGCTGACTGAGGGGCGGAGCTGATATGTCGTTTTCCCTGGCAAGGCCTTGGGTCTCTTTACGCCGCGGCCATTCTGCAGGACAAGTATGAAGGCGGAATGCCACAAGGCTTCATGCTCCATCTATCAGCAACTTGATATTGAATTCAGGGCATGCGACGCCGGCTTTCCTGAAAAGCCTGGTTCTCAGTCATCACGGCATACAGCTTGCAACGTGTGCTGGCAAGTCTAGTGCCGGGCCGTGGGTGCCTACTGTCATTTTCGAGATGTTCTTCGCCGATGATAGTCTCAGCATCCCAACCTCCCTCTGACCGATAAAGGTCAACTCTCTTGGACTTGGTGAAGTCTTGGCATGCTGAGGATTTGAAGCTAAGAAGCTTCGGTCTGCCCATGCGGAGATCCTGTCTTCCTATTTGTCGGGCAGGTTCTGTCGAAGTTTCGTCGAACGTGGTCTTCCAACGCTCACGAAAGACAGGACCGACAACTGCAGCTTGCTCTTGAGCCGTACGAAGACCCAGAAGGCCCGAGCGCGGTTTCGATTCGATCCGCCCCAATGATGATGCATTCCCCTCGAAGTCATTTCATCTGGTTGCGGCTGTGCGGAGGTTTCCGAAGCTCAGCCTTCCTTGCTGAACGAGGCGCATCTTAGTCAGATCGATTCTGCCCTAGACCACATTCCACGCATTCCAGAACTAGGATGCCTTGGGCGGCCGCTGCAAGTCTGCAGCGACGAAAGCTCCGATGCCGGCAGCTCGTTTCTGTGAGCTGTGTAGTCCCGAGCCTGCAGTGTGAGCCAAGCAACGAGTGTTTAGGCCAGCGGAGGAGTTGCGATCTCTAGCTGGACAGGCGCCTCTTATCACCAGTTTTCAACGGCCTCCCAAATGAGGAGCAGTGGGTGTCGTAGCTGTACTCGTGCAGCAGCTGCGCAGTTCTGGAAGTGTTTCTCCGCGAAGTTGGCTGAGCTGAAGACCTAGCCGGTTTAGTCGACCAAATTGAAAACTGCTAAATTGCGCTAAAGATTTTGTCTATGGGGTCCGAAAATAAAGGGTCCTGATATAGAAATCTTCGGGACCCTGCAATACATCAAGGTTGTAGTGGTTTTAACGTACTTCGGCTGCTGAGACACGACTTGCAGCCCTTAGCACCTTTTTACCGGGGAAAACAAAAACGAGCTCATCGTTCTTAGCTCTGCGGCGATACCCGCATATAGGCCGCTACGCGAAAGGCCACAGCCACAGATGCCGTCCCCGCGATTGGATGGCCTGGATGCACCGCGCTGGATTGCATCCGCCCACATCGATGCTTGGACTCGCGAGAACGTAGTTCTTGAAAGTCGAGTGACTGAGCCACAGCGCGACCAGGTTGTTCGCACAGCCAAGGTGATTTTCCATTACTACCAGTCAACCGGTGTCACGCAACTTGGAGTTCGACGTTAGATCAGCAAGAATCGCGCAGATGGACTCAAAATGTCGTCGTGCCAATGAGGTATTTCGAGTTCGGCGGCCTTTGGACACAGTTCTTCTTCATATTGGGAGGCTTCATCTTGTCCTACAGTGAAGCTTGGCTGCGACCAGCTCGGAAGGCCTTCTGCTGACAGCCGGGGTTGTCGTTTCTGGGTACACAGCAACGGACAAAGGAGTTTGTTGGTCGAATATCGCAAGTCCGAGGAAATCTCAAAACCACAAGGGGGCAGCACTCCTACCGTGATGCAATACCTCCAGAAGCGACTGGCAGAGTGCTCAGCCTGCTGTCGAGTTGACCTTGCGCACTCCATACTGGCGACCATGCAATGAACCTATCTTTGCTTTTCGCGAGGTGACCATTTACCCGCTTCACTTTGCAACACTGTTGATGTGCCTGGTCTGGCAGCATGGGAAGAGATTGTGGGACGAGAGAGTATGTGTGTGCATGCTAGGAAAGAAGGCAGGCTCATCCATCCTAATTGGCCTCTGCAGGTGTGTCCTAGACCGTTCAGAGCGAAGCCTCTTCGAATGGTGCTGTCTGCCGTTGAATGCCCTGCTGCTTCAGCGCCTTGGCATCAGACATCAGCTATGGCGATACGCTGTGTGCGACAACCGCACGTGAAGGTCGGTCGTTCCAATCTGCTACGAGAACACGCGCCTCGGTCATGTCGGAAAGGTAGGAGCCTTTCTTTAGGGTTCTCAGCCTTCAGCCATCATGCGACGGAGAGGCACAGAAAGGATTGCGCAGGCACAGTGCGAGAAGTGTAACAGGCTCGCTGCAGCACGCTTGCAAACCGGTTAATGAGAAGCTGAGCAGAAGCTTGTTGAAGCACAACGAGATATGAGGTGTGCTGCCTACATGTACAACGGCAACGTGGCGTAACTGGCACGTGCGGGGTAGAGACAAGCATCAGCCTTGATGCCAGCGTGCGTGAGGAGTGAGGTAGGCTTGTTGGCTACCTGCACAGAATCAAGGCGTCTCGTGGTTCCTCTCGTGCTTGCTGATGCCTGGGGCCTAAAATGTGGAAGGCTCACTGTGCCGCCTGTGCCCTTTGCGTCTTTGCGTCGACTTGATCCTGTGCCGAGATACTGGATGTGCGTCCGCCCCCTTTCGCGCCTATTTCAAGCAACATCGCTGTTCACATGCATGATCTGTCTCTCAGGCAGGCCGTGCTTCTTTGGAGTCGCATGAGGTGCCTCCTCACTTCGCCCACCTGTCGCGAGGTTGCTGGCTTTGTTCGCTTCTTCCTTTGGCTTTGTACCCCGATGAGCACAGCGGTGGTTCGGACTCTCTGCTCGCACTCGGCCGGAGAAGAGTTCTCTCGGTTCTTTTCGTGAGTTCCGTCTGCGTGCCAGCGGCTTGTGGTTCAAGGAGTACACGCGACTGGTCCTTTCGAACCTGGTGCAGGCCCGGGTGTCCTCTTGCTGATTCAAGCCCCCGCTACCCTGAGACATATCCCGAGCGCAAACGAAGGCGACACCGGTTGCCTATTTCCACGTGTTCCTGTCCGGAGTGGTGGCTTCTCGCATCTTCATCCTCCTCTGCTTGGCGGACAAAGAAACAGGACAGAATCCACAGAGTGGGGGTGAAGCAGGGAGAACCGCAGTCCGGATGCACAGGACAGCCTCCGTCGGAAGGAACAAAGGATCTGGTGCTCGCCACGGAGCGGGCGCCGCTGGTGCTCAGATACGGCTGCACGCTCGGACGCTCGTCGAAGTGACGCCCCGGTTGCAAGCGTGCAGGTAGCAGCCTCGCCGCGGCGTTTGTATCGATCTGAGGATACCTCCTCTGGGCCGGATTGGTCCTCAGTTGGTCCTTTTTGGAACGTGGCATCAGCAACGGGCTTCATCATGGAAAAGTGTATTGGATGTCCGGCACTTAGTTGCTTCGGGATGCTTCGGGCATCGGTACGGGCAGAGTCAGCTTGCCTGCAGAGCAAGTGGAGGTTCCACAACGGGGGTTTGATCCCGATCCTGGTGCTCATCCTGCTGGGCTGTGGTCTAGGTCCGAACGCCGGAAGTGAAGGGTGGGATTCCGAGTACTGCACAGTGGCTCAATGTGGCTCAGGTGAGGACCCCTTGGTGAAGTATCTCTTCCGCACGCACGTGTTCCGCATCCTGGGACGGATCTCATATTCCCAGTATCTCTTGCAGGCCAGACGCGATACCACGGTTGCTACAACCAGAAGTCTGCCCTGCCCTGAGGATCCGGTTTCTTCCTTCTTGGCTTTCTACCTTATCCCGGACCGCCATGGACCATGGGGCCACAATCCGGTACCAGAAAAGCAACTCGGGTAGCAGCGCTCGTCAAAGCTTGTCAAGAATCGCAGGCGTTTGAGGCAGGCTCCACTACACATTAAGCGGTTAGCCGTCGGTTCTTTTCAGACGAGGTTCCTCATCGTGTACCCCTTTGTGCTTTTGCCGTCAGCGTACTTCGTTGAGCATCCCCGATGCAGTGGGTGGGCGCATGTTTGACCGAGCTTGCAGTTCGCGGTTCCACAGCGTCTGTCAATGAGTCTCGGAATGTGCTACAGTCCTTGTGCTTCAATGCTGAGCTCAGGAACTACTTTGTTCAGCCCTACGTCCTTTGGCTCCGGCACCAGCTCAAGGAGAGCCCACGGGTGTGTTGCAAAGGGCTAAAGGCGTGCGCTATCGGCGGCCCTGCCTGCGCATAAGGAACCGAGCTCCAACTGCTCTAACTGTGGGCTGGGATGCAGAAGATGGTGTTCAGCGGCTCGTCCGACCTACGCCGGTGCAATGGCAAGCACGCATTCGGCTCCATGGTGACCCGCGGCAGCCTGAGGCACTCTTCGAAGTTTTCCCACACAGACGGAAGAAGGACCCGGAGCGCTTTGGCGACACCAGACCTGACCTGCAAAGTGTCTTAGAAGAAAGCACCCTCAAGCTTTGCGCAGTCAGGTCCGTGCTCGGCGTTGACCCACAGCGCCTGGCAGCCATTGCTGAGAGTGCAGAGGACTCTGCCCAGGAGGCCATCAATGCCATCGAGCTTCCGAGCAGCAGAGACTGATGAGTCACTGATGGACATGTTTTCTTATGTTTGTGGCTTGGTGGAATCCAAGGCCTCAATACCACAAACGCCACTCGTCATCATTCAGCAGTGTGCGGCGGCAAGGCTTGCATGTCCAAGAGCACAGGTGTAGTTGTCGTACCCGATTACGAGCGCATGCAGATGGAGGAGACGTTTTTTGCGAGTCTGCAGCTGCAAAGTCTTGGGAGGGAGCTCTGAAGTAGGCACAGAAAAGCCTTCTAGGCAACGATCAAACTGTGACATGCACGAAATCGCGCAAGAGCAGAAAACGGATACGCGTGGTTTAAACCGCACGAGCACTCGGAGCAGTGTGGGCGCCTCCGCAATGTGGCATATTGCTCATAATTTCGACAGCGGCAGCATTGAGCAACGGCAGCGACAGCCAGAAGCCCAAACACCGGAAACCTGGGACTTTGCATGCAGACAGCAGACTGACACTCGCTTAGACGGGAGAATCGAGCCAGCTCAAAGTCATAGTGACGGTCCTTGGAGGGCAGTGTGTCGAGCACATGACCGCTCAGATGTCAGGAGGAAGAGGTCTCTGCCTCTCAAAGCTGTGGCAGCCAAAGCAACGACGAAGAGTCAGGTTCAGGCACTTGTGTCTCTCCGGCCGTTGCAAGTAAGCTGTTGGCATGATGACCCGTGCTTAGCAGATTGTTTCGCAGCTTTCTAGAACGAATCTGCTTCTCTTCGATGCTGCTCCTTTGGCTGAAGGCTCGGGTGAGTCGACAGTCGCTGGCGAAAGGCATTTTCCTAGCCGCTGGCTGGCTTCGATGACTTTCTCGAACTTGACGAACTCTTGAGTTGAGCTGTGCCGAGAGCTATACTTAGCGAGGTTGCAATCCTCGTAATCTTGAGAAACACTCGGCCATGTTCATGTGGTCGAATGACTCCATACCTTCTGCAACGAGCCTTTATTAACAATTGGCGAGTGTGGAATGTGGCGACGCATCGAGGCAGTGTTTCCTAAATCAGGGCACCTTTTCCCGATGTGTCGCCGACGCCGCTCTCTGCGCGTTGTGCCAAATGCAGGAATGTGCAGATAGAGCACGGTGGATCTGTACATAATAAATAGCCGATAGCCTAACCGTTCAAGTTTATAGAACCATCTACCAGGGCAGAAGTGCTTGAAGCATCTCTCCCTCTCGCCGCGCGATAGCCGATAGCTCGCCGCGCGATCGCTTCCAAATGTGAGCGAAGTCTGAGTGGAGAGCGGCGGTACGGAGCGGCCTCGTAGCGGACGGAGGCGGAAGAGAGCGAAGGGGAGGAGGTCTTGAGCCCTACGGAGCAGCCCAGGGCTCAGGCGGCTCAGGCTCAGAGGAGCTCTCACACAGCGAAGGGGACGTTGACGTTTCAGTAACGAGACATCTCCCGCGAGGTTCACGTCGGAGAGCGAGTCGTCAGAGGCGCGCTGGAGTCTTTTTCCTTCGCCGTCTTGAGAGGGCCAGCACTGTGCGATCCTCCCAAGACTCTTCAATCGTGGAGGCGTCGGCGTCCACGGTGGCGGCACCTACGCCCAAGGCGGAGCCCAAGGCGCCCAAGGCCAAGGCGGAGGCGCCCGCGCCTAAGCCGGCAGAGCCGGCGCCAAAGGCGGAGCCGCCCAAGGTCAAGACAAAGGCTCCCAAACCCAAGGCGGAGCCCGGCAAAACAAAGGCTCCCAAGAAGAAAGCGGAGGCGGAGGCGGAGACTCCCGCCGAGGCGCCTGCCGTGCAGGCGCCCAAGGCCAAGGCGGAGACTCCGAAGCTTCCCGCAGCGCTTCCCGCGGCAGAGCCGGCGGAGGCAGAGGCTTCGGCCCCGGAGCCAAAGGCCGAGCCCAAGCCGCTGGCCGCCGCCGGGCCTTTGGCCGCAGCCGCAGCGGCGACAGCCTCCAAAGCGGAGCCGAAGGTGAAGGCTCCGGCTCCGCCGAAGGCTCCGCCGCCGAAGGCTCCGCCGCCCAAGGAGACGAAGGAGCCGCCAAAGCAGCAGACTCCGAAGACTCGGACGGCTCCGACGGCTCCGAAGACAGCAGAGCCAAAAGCAACGAAGCCGGAGCCCAAGGCCAAAACGCTGGCAAAGCCAAAGGCTCTGGCTCCAAAGCCCAAAGTGCCAGCTGCGACGGAGAAGGCATCTGCAGTGGTCTGTTCAAGAAGCGGCGATCGGATTTTGGACATGAATCTCATGCCTGCATGGCAGGAACCGAAAGCAGCCGCGCCACCAGCGCAACACAGTGTCGGTGCTGGGAAGAATGGGGAAGAGATGGAGATGAGGCTGCGTGTGCTCAAACGCAAGCTCAGCACTCAGTCGGAGACGTTCGGATCGGGGGCCCCGCCCCATCTCGGTCTCGGTTCTCCAAGTCAGGCTGCTGGGAGACTCTGCTGTGGCAGCAACGACCGCTGTGGCTCCGGGGCTCAGCCTTGAAGCCGTTGGCAAATGCCCATCGGAAGTGTTTGAGAGGCTAACTACATCTAACTATTCTTCTGATCCCTTCGAAGTTTTGAAGGCGAAGCTCCAAGCGAGGCTTCTAAGGCCAGGTCCAGAGTTCGTGGTTTGTTGTTGTGCGGTGCCGTCGCGACGGATCGCCTTTGTCCCCGTGTCAGGCTGAAGGCGGAGGAGAAGACAATCAGGCTGACAACCGAGGAACTGGAGGCCGCGCAGCGAAAGAAGGAGGGCTTCGTGCTTCGCTTCGTCTCGCCCTGGCCCTGTGGAGGCGCAGTTGGGCTCCGTGAAGGCCGAGCTGGAGACGGCGATGGCCAAGCGGCGAAGATGCGAGGAGGCCAGGAATTCGAGCGAGAGTTGGGAGCTCTGAGGAGCCTCAGCTGCTTTCAGGAGTTCGGCTCTCACGAACGACTCAAGGCGACACGGGGGCACACGCCGCCTGTGGGCCTGTGGGGTGTTTGCCGCGAGAGAGCTCTGTGCAGGCACTCCAAGGCCGCCCGGGCCCGCAGTACCTCGAAAGGCCAGGCGGCTAGGCCTAGGCTGTTTGTGGTTCAGGGGATGCTCAGGGGCCTTGTAAGTGTTCGGTTTCCGCGGCTGCAACACATGTCAATGATGTACGTGGGAGGCTCTTCGGCAATCTGGCAGCCATGTTTGTTGGACATGCAGCGGGGAGCTCAGGGGCTTAGTTCATCTTAGTCTGATTTTAGTGCTGTGTCCTACATCTAAAGTGCTTTCGCTTTGGCTTAGGCAAGTGCTCCGATTCCCTGCAAAGTTGAGAAGAAGTGATTCGGGCCTAAATCCGCGGGCTCGTTTCCGTTAATGCCCCTGGAATTGCAGCGTCATGCTCTGCCAATGCCGTGGAGCGAGGGCGCGCCCCCACCCGACTGGATGCGATCTAAGTCATCGCTGAGAACAAGGAAGTGTCACACCGTCCGTACTCGGCCCTGTCATCTTCGAGTCTGCGCCATCTTTGCCTTCGTTCCGCGGGCTCACAGCTGAGTCTGACAACCAGACCAGAGTTGAGAGCTTACCAACCTTTCTTGGCTGTCGCGGGGACGCTCAGACCGCTCTGCATCGCTCTGCTTGCGCCGATGGAGGAGAGGGAGAGGGACCCGTCGAAGCCGCCGGCCAGGCGGCCGAGTCGCTGGATCGCAGGGTCGCGGGGTGCGGGGCTCCGAGACGCTGGTGCCGGGAAGGCGGCGGCGCATCGACTGGGCGGCAAAGTCGCAAGCGTCGCAAGCGTGGCAGGAGGCCGACTTCGGCCTTCCATGCACAGGCGTGCAGCAGCTTATCTTGCATGTGCAGGCCCCCATCCCGAGCACCAGTTCGACGTGCTCGGCGCTGCCTGTTCTGAACGAGGCGCTCCACTCGACGCTCCTAGAAAGTTGACTCAACATGACTCAACATGCAAGTAGAGACAGTTACTCTTGCCGACTGCCGCAACACAAGGAGAGTGGCTACCGACAGAAGTTCTAGACTCTAGACTGCACGCATGCAAAAACGAGCATCCCAAAGCAGACCACGACGTTTGCCCTTCGCGCAGCATGGGCAGGAAGACGGGTTGGAATTGTGGGTGGCAGCACACCGGCGTCCAAACATGGAGCCTGGACATGGCACACCCGAGTAGCATGATCACACAGACCATGGCAGCTTTCGGGCACACACGGGCAGTATCCCGTGCTTTCGAAAACCAAGGCTTGCGTGTCAACACAACCGCGGTTTCTGAAGTGTTAAACGGAGGTTCCCTTGGGCGGCACTGAGCTTTGTTTACACATCGAAGGACCTCACGCGCCTCGCAGCTTCCCAGGTGGGACCTGGGATGTTGGCGCAGATCGTAGCTTTCTTCCCGCTCAAGCCCAGCTTGACAGGCACGGCTGCCGCCTACTTCGCCCAAAGTGGCGCTTGCCAGCTGCACACGCGGGTGGGCGGGTGCCGGGTGCTGCCAAAGCTAAGCTCAAGGCCCGGGCAACGCTTTCCGCAGGTGCCGGCCTGCTCGGCTGCGCGAATGGCTGTTCTGGCACTTGGCGAAGGTGCGGGCGGTGCGAGCGCGGGGGGTCAGTTCGGAGGTGATCCAGAGCTTCGAACAGCAATCGTGATTCTCTGTCGCAGGGCGTCCGGATCGTTCTTCTTCGCTGGGTACCCTGTCAGCAGAGATCGTGTCATCCGACCTCAGACATGTCAGAGCCGAGGAGGGTGCAATGGGCCCAGAACAAGAGGAGGCCAAGTTCCGAGCGCACCCACGGCCCTCTTTAAGATCCTCCCCCCCGCTCTCTCTCTCTCTCTCTCTCTGTCTCTGTCTCTGTCTCTGTCTCTCTCTCTCTCTCTCTCTCGCTCTCTCTCTCTCTCTCTCTCTCTCTCTCTCTAGCGACTTTCCGGATATGTGGTGTCGGGCTTGTGCTGATGGTGTTAGACATTCATTGTCGTGCCTTTTTGTCAACTGGAAAGTGATTTTGTCGCCTGTCGTACCTTAGCACGCCATCTTGCAGGGATGCTGATGCTTACGAACTCTGTTGAGCCGGAAGAACAGGTCATCCGCGACCTGCGGGACAGCGGCCGCTTGATCCTCCTGGAGTCCTCCTTGCAGGTATGGCATTGGTTCTTTCGCTGGACCGCCATTCTAACGCGTTGTTGCATCGTGCAGTGTGCAGGGCAAAGCGTCGAGCAGCTTCCAGCGTGTTATGACACGTCAGATCAGGCCCGCGCGCTGGGCCTGGGTGCCACATACTCCTCCGCAGTCCAATAATCGATCCTCTGAGGTTTGTGCACAAAGCGATTCGGGCAGCTCGAGCCCGGAGGTGCCATTGGGCTGCCTCAGTCCATGCGAGCCCAGGCTCAGCGTTGTTGCAGCGATTGCCGCCAGATGCGACTTCCTGCTTCATCTCGATGATGACGAGCTCCTCTTCCCAGAGGCAGCCCTTTTGAGATCCGGAAGGATGGCGGGCTGGCGCTGGTGCTGGGTGGTGGTGGTGGTGGTGGTGGTGGTGGTGGTGGTGGTGGTGGGTGGTGGTGGTGGTGGTGGTGGTGGTGGCGGTGGCGGTGGCGGTGGCGGTGGTGGTGGTGGTGGTGCATTTCACATTGGTATTCCTGCCATGGGCTAGCCCGATAGAATCAAGGACTTGCATACGTTTCGGGAACCTGCCCTTCACTACTGAACCTGAGACCGGCAGCATCCCCGTGCTGCTGCGACAATACGTGGGAAGCAGCAAGAGGCCGGCAGTGCCTCGACTAACGGTTTGCAGAAGAGAATCGAGTCGGAGCCCTTCCTCCGTTGAATTGACAGGTGTCTGCACTTTGAGAACCTGGAGGCTAGCACTTTGATTGGCTCATCAGGTGCAAGAGCTCGTTCTAGTCTTATTCTGTGGTCTGCAGCACACAGTTCTGGAAAGTTCCGGGCCTCGGACTTCTGAGACACCCGGCATGGCCAGAGGCGGTTTTTCCCTTCGACCTTCAGACAGAGCGCCCCTTCTCACGGCGCCGCACACGCTTCAGGCCAAGGGACGGAAGGGAGGAGAAGATCTGTGCGGTGAGGGAGAGATTCAGGGGCTACCACGTCATTGCATCGCCTCTGAATGTCGGGATGCCGGGACCTGGATTAGGTTGAATCCTAAACCCAGACGAAACGTCCTCTCCTTTGATGTGGGCGGATTCAAGACTATCAGGAACGATGGTTGTGTTTAGGCCTGAGATGATATCGCACGCTTGCTCACCTGCAGCCTCAAATTGGGCCATAGCAGTGACATGTATCCAGCCAAGCTTCTGCAATTGTCAACTTGATCTCCGATGCTTGAGAATGTCGCTATGAGGTGCAGTAGCTTCCAACACAGCCGCGTAGATGCATTCTAGACGCCGCAATGGCGCCCAAGAAGAAGACCATCAAAGAGGCGGCCAGACGCTGCCCAATTGACAGCAGCTGTAGTCAGATTCGAAGGCGCAGAGCGTTCCAGTTTCACGATGCGGGACCTGACAGGCTGGCAAAGCCAAGGCCAAGGCCAAGGAGAAGGCCAAGGCGAAGGCCAAGGAGAAGGCAAAGAGCAAGGCGAAGGCGCAGCGGTGAAAGTACTTGTGGCGGTTCCTTTTCAATTTGCAATGCCACGGGCCACATGAACTTCAATCATCGCAGAAGCCTAGATCCAGCATATCAGCATGTCATGCGAAGACTGGTGGCTGCAGCTAACATGCTCCAAAAGATCGTAAACCTTGACGTAGCATGGACAACGTTGATGGTGTTCACACTCATGCCCAAACTGCTGAGATCCTATCGTCAGACACTTCCAACAACTCCCGTTTAGTTTTTGGCTTTTTGAGGGGGTTCAAGACTTCCGTCCGATCCCAGTCACCAAATAAACCCGAAACCCTATAAATCCAACCACCCACACCCAGATCCCCGAAGCTCACGGGAAACTCCGACGTTTCTGCGCTGCCAGGCCGCAGATGCCAGTGCCGCCAGCACGGCGGAGGCAAACGGCTCTTCTTTATGGACTCTTTTTGTAGTTCCTCTTTTGGATGTCCCTCGTGGTGCCTCTTAGAGCACCTTGCTTCGTGGCTCTCTTGTAAGGCGCCTAAGAACGCATGCGTGCTGGGTGACAGGCGACCAGCTTGGCCACGTCCGCGTCTCTCAAGGAGCCAAAGCATCAGCTCTGTCTCCGAGGGCCATTTTGCGACCTGCTCTGGTTCTGGCTCTCTGCTCCAAACGTTCTTTGCGGTTCAAAGCTGTCCACATGTAGTGAAGTGTAGTGGATCTGCGGCCCTCCGAGGCCCTTTGAACTCCGAGGTCCAACGTTTTCTTCAGACAGATGTGACACGTCGCCTAGATGCGTCCAGCTTAGCCATGTCTCCCATGCTCTTCTAGATTTCATGCGCCATGGAAGCGGATGAGCCCAGCTCTTCTCCACATCGTGCTGAGGCTGATAAGTCCCGGGAAGGAATCATCAAACATACTTAAACAGCTGCTGTTACTGGAGAGACAAAGATAGATGAAGGAGGTTCTGAGAGAGAGGAGAGACAGCGAGAGAGCAGGCGAGCGAGTGAGGAGAGAGCGGGAGAGAGCGCTGCAAGGCACCAGCGCGCGGTGGGGAGGCAACTCCCCACCACAGCCCTGGCGAAAGAAAGAGAGCGCTGCAAGCAAGCAGGCAAGAGAGAGAGCGAGAGAGAGAGAGAGACTAACACGGGCGGGCCTAGTGCCCGGGAGGCTTAACTCGCCTTCTAAGCCTGGGAGAAGGAGAGAGAGGGAGAGAGAGAGAGAGACAGACATCCTTCGGGGGAACCCCTTGTCTTATTGGATCAACAGCGAGGACTCACTGAGATCGAACTGAGTGCTTGATTGAGTAGCTTGTCAACCTTGACTTGTAACCTGTCAGAAGACAGAGGGACCTTCCACCAGCAATCTTTACCATTGTCTTTCCTATTGCACGTACGTATATACCGGCAGACTTACGGATGCGGAGATGTGCAATTGTAGAGTTGTCGCATGCAAATGTGTAGCATGTATGGACACGCCGACTCATGGACTGTATTCGTTTCGCGCCCGACGCAGGCGTTGCCGGCCTTCGCTCCATTGACAGCGCTGTGGGTGGGACGCGGCTCAGCGACAAATGAGGGAGCGATTTGGCATCGTTTCTTCGGATCCTGGCATCAGGCTACGCTTCCACAAACCATTCTGTGCTCTTCTTGTGGGTTGACGGCATTGCCAGCATCGGCGCCGGTGCTGGCAAGCCAAAGAAACTCGTCGCCGGCCTGCATATCTGTGCACAGCAGAGCATGGTAGAGTCATGCAAAGCCCATGGTATAGGGCATGAGAGTGACCGGTGACAGAAAGCCCAGGTACTGGTCGTCGTGCAAGCCGCTTGTCATCGAAGTCGGCTGGCCGATCTGTGGACGTGATGTGGCATCTGATATGGCCTTGATTCAAGGACGAACTGAAGCAGCAACCTGCCGTCACCCTACGGCGATCGCGATGGGCTTTGAAGGTTGCCGGGCATGACATGCAGCTTCCTCGTCCTGTCTTGCCTTCAATGATCGACTGCCTGAGCTGGGCCCACTGTAGTAATCGCGCCAAGTTCAGGATAGTCCGTTCTTTGCACCGGGCGATGCACGCCCGTGCCGCCGCCTGGATGCAAAAGAGTGGATCAAGAACGACTCTGCGTGAACACTAGCCAACTGTCATGCCAGTTCAGTCTTCGATTCAACACAATAGGAGTTGGAATGATTTTAGTCTTCGCTGCATACGGCAGAAGTTGTAGCATGTTTCGATGAGCAGACATTCTGTTGGCGTTGCATGGGGTTTGCGTGAGGCGGCGTCTGCACATTCGAAATTCTGCTCGGCGATATCGCCGGGCTTGATTACTGGAATCCACTGCTGGTTGATGCGAGCCGGGTTGTCATCGAGGTTGGCCAACAGTGGTATGACGGACTGCAGCCGCGCTCTTCCGTCTGAGCACTACCATTTCGTTTGCGTGCTAGGCACGTTGCTTGACTCGTCGCTGGTTTCCGGACTTGCGCAGTTGCGGGCAGCACTTCGGTCGACGGCTCAGTTTGGCTTCTGGCATGCCAGTGGCTGGTGCTGCAAAGTTGTAGATCCTTACAGCTTTGGACTTGGGAGGCTGGGATTTGGGGGCGTCTCCGGATGCTGCCCTGTACCGGCCGGCGCCCAGAATGCATTTTGTCGCGATGCTGCCTTGTGCTACTGTGTCATTCGACTCACTGTGAGGTGAAAGGGGAAGTTGGCGTCGAGCTGCCGCAGGTTTACACTGCTATGTCGTTCCATCCCACTGGAGTCTTACACGAAGTGAACATCGCAGAGCTCCTCAACCCTGCTTCCCCTGGGCAGGTTGTCCTACTCACGGAGAACTGCAAGCTGCACACTTCTCCTTCCAAGGCTCCGTTGATGGGCCATGTCAAGCCAGAAGACCTGAGACCTCTTCTGCTTTGTTGCAGGTGGGTCCCAGCTACTGGCAGCCGCGTGCCGAGGAAGCGTCCTTCGCTCGCATCAACGCCGTGGTCCGAGCAGCGGAGCCTCGCTGCGAAGTCTTGCGACGAAGTTTCTCGTGCCTTTGAGCTGAATTCGAAGCATCCTGAACCCGTGCAGTACCTCCGCGAGGAGCGGGTCGTGGGCGGCCCGACATCTCCGCGCCGCAGCTTGGCACCTCGGCTTTCCGAGTGCTCGGAGATGCGGGGAGCTCTGAGATGTTCTGATGTCATGAGAGTCAGTCAATACAGTTCAGAAGCTCCAATTCCTGTTGCGTCAAGAAGCCCGGATCGCTGTGAGGATTTCAGCGGAGGCGACACTTCGCCCATTTCCCAGGCAGTCTGAAGCGCATGGCCATCACGGCGACAGTCAGGGGGAACCTAGTACCGGCTAATGTGCGACAGTATCGATCAATAATTTTCGATTAGATATTCAGGACCATTTCGATGTCGCGTGCATTCCATTCGCAGGTCCATGACGGAGATGGCGGCACGGGAAGCTGTGCTTCGCATCAGGTCGACACCGACTCCTCCGCTCCTCCTCGGCAATTTCCTCCAAACAGTGCAGTACAGGTACTTGTAGCTTGTAATGTCCTGGGAGAAGATCGCTGTTTGCTCGAGGGTCTACCCGCACCCGGCGGTTCCAGGGTGCAGCGCGCATTTTTCTGACCAAACATAGCGTTCTTTCCGCAGTCGGCCACATTCGCCGCAGACGTTGAATGCATCCAGACTCCAATACTTTGGATTGTGTGGAAATCGTGGTCCTGCCACAGTCCCATGCATACATTTGGGTGCGGCTCGTGTTCCTGCCGCTGTACAATGCATGTTCTCGCGTGCCAATCGTGCTTCCGAGACGGAGCAGTTGCGAGCTTGAGGATTGCGGTTCTTGGGCAGCGAGGTGGTACTTCACTGTTCGTGGTAAACGGGTGAACCTGCCGGCACAGCAGTTTCGAGAGTTCGACCCTCTTGCCTTGTAAGCGCATCGCGCATCTGAATAGAAAGCTTTTAGGTTCCCCTGCGAATCGATTTCGATTCTCCAGTGATGCACTGGGCATCACAGTGCGCACCCGCAAGGTCATGGAAGTGCTGTACAATCGCACAGTGGCCAGGTTGCACTTTGCACTTGTGTTTCAAAGGGGCTGGGGGTGGCCCACCTCACGGCCCACACAAGTATAAGAGTACTTTGTAAATTTTCTCTGCGACTCCTTTCTTTTGTGCCCAAGTTGCACTGAGGTGAACTTCCGCTTTGACGATCCATTCTTGCCCTATGTTCTCCGCGAGGCCAAAGTCAAAGTAGCTATCGTGAGCAGGTTGTTACGACTGGAGCTCTGGAGGCCTTTGCAGGGAGAGGCTCCTCTGTGGCCCTCCTTTGTTGGGTTCTGCCAGAAAGACTCTGAGTCCTCTCAAGCCAACACCTGCTGCGTATATGGCCGCCTGCAGGTGATCCATGACCCAGAACACACCCGGCTGCTGCGCTTGTGCGAAGCTGGCATTCCAGCATGGGCTATCGCGGCTGGGCGCTTTCTAGGTTCTAGATTCTAGATGTATCAGTCGTCTTCAGTGGTTGGGAAGGCACTGCTCAGGAGGAAAGCAAATGCACAGCAGGGATAGATTCAGACGCAGAGGCAGACACGACATGGGATCATCATGTGGAACAAGCCGAAGCCGATGAGGTGCTGCCACGATACATTGGGTGCTACCATCGATTCATGCGACACTTTGTGGCTGTGGTGGTGGTCTTCATCTCTTGCCTCTCCATGCTCTTGGGCTTCTACGACTTGCGACTCGACCGAAAGAGCAAAGCAAGGTCTCGGCCTCAGAAGTCGACTTTCAAAGCGAGGTACAAGCGCATCCCGCTCGTCCGCTCGCTGCTGAAGCAGTCGCTTGGGCCGCTGAGCCAACGTCTGGAGGAGTTGGTGGTGGCCACTCGACCGCCTGTCGACGACTCGACCGCCTGTGGGGCCCAGGGCCCAGTGGGGCTTCGTTCTTCGCTTGTGAAGCGAAGGTGCGCCTCTCAGTGCTCTTGGGCTGGTTCCTCCCGTACAGCACGATTCTGCGTCGTGCCCGGGACGCTCTCCATTTCTTCTGCGCTTTGGCAGCGAAACGCATGCTACAGCAACAGCCAGCGGCTTAGACTTCTGCGATTGTCTCGTTGGGTGTCGAGGTTCCGTGTTGGGGGCTTTGGTGGCGGCTTTGGCGTCGCCCTTGTCCTACCTGTGCTCGGCGGCCTCGGCGCCCGTGGGGGCTGCGGCCTCGGCCTGGCGGCAGGGAAGCCCAGCAGGGTTTTTCTCTTGTAGCGGAGAAGAGGGGAGGGTTTCTGAGTCTCTGTGCGTTTCTGCGCGTTCTCGCGCGGGTTCCGAGGTTCCTCGTGCAGGTGTTTGGAGCCGTCGGCCGCATTGGCTCATCCCTGGGTTCGGGCACCTTGGTGCCGAAGTGAGATTCGAGTTTTTTTTTCCAGACATTTTGCCGAAGGAATTGTACTCGTATGGCGGCCTGATTGGCTTCGACCTGCCTCTGAAGATGCTTTTCTGTTGTGTGCTGTCACGTCCGCTCGAGAGTGGGTTCTGCAGGTGCCCAGGGCGGCATCAGCACAGCTCGGCTTCTGAGGGCCGAGTTCAACTTGGCGAGACAGGCCGTCAGGGAATGGTAGTTGCTTCGCCAGGCTTACAGCCCTGTTTGCAGGCTTTCATGAGCGTCTACAATGGCACAAGCTTCCTTGGCGCGACAGTCGCAAAGCACCAGGCTCACGGAACGGCGTTCATGGAGCTGCAGTCCTCGTTCGTGAGCTCTCCTGACTTCATGCAGTTCGGACGTGTCTCAATGCTGTCAGTATCTGCCACACAACAGGCCTCGATCCGCGTGTCATGGTCGCGGTGGCACCACGGACTGCGGCGGCGACTTTCACAACAAAGGCTCCGGAGGCGCGGCACCGGTGTATGCTTGCAAGACGCGTTGCATCTGGCCCCGTCTCGCCTTCAACGGCCTTCGATTCTTCGATGCAGGCCGTTGCTTGCTTTGCTGTCGGGCGTGGCAGTTTGGACTTTCTGGCCCGGCAGAGCCACGGAGCTTGCAGTAACCCGGCCACTGCCTAGATGCAGGCGTAGATTCGCTTCGTTGCTTTTTGGGGTTCTCGTCTTTCGGCCACAGCCAGCTTTTGGCTGTCGTTGAGGCCAGGGAGGCTCTATAGCGACCATGGATATAGGGATGTACAAGATGTAGAATCTACAAGGATTCTTCCGTGGCCCCGCCCGGCCCTCCTCTACTTCTCCATGCACACAATCCTTGGCCTGTTGTAGAAGTTCGGTTCCGTATCATTTCAGCTGCAAGAGTCGCGTGGCTGTAGACTGCCGGGAGATGTCACGAGGTAAGATGCTTCGACATCATGCTTTGGGACTTTGCCGTGGTGTTGACCAGGCCCTGCTGCGATAAAAATAATGTGCGATTCGACAAGATTGCGAACGCGGACTTTGCTCAGTCTCGATGCAGGTGTTTCGACTAGTCCCGGCAGCTGCTCGCGCCTCTCGCATGCATGCGTCAGATTTGGGAAACTGCTCAGCATGTGCTTCTCAGCGGACACACAGCGGCTGTCCAAAGTTCGAGGAGCGTCGCGCGCTGCTTCGCGAACGATTTCAGATGTCCAAAAGAACGACTGGATCCATTGTTGGCACGAGCCAGCCAAGTGACCCCAGCATCTGTGCGAATCAGAAATGGATCCCGTATGATCCCGTTCTAGCCATTTTCAACACAGGCTGGTCTGTTTCAGACAGAAGCTCGAGGCATTCACACCATGGATTTTGCCAGTTGTGTTTCTTGCTGGGAGAAGAGTCCTGGAGCATCCTGGAACCCGCCGTGTAGTGAAGTGTAACCAGCATGACCGAAGCAAAAGAAGCAAGGATGTTTGAAGCAGGCTGGGAGAGCGAATTCAGCCTCTGCAACGTTTGCAGTGCGCCAGTGGCTTCAAGGCCCAACGGCTGCACGCATGTGACCACGGGAGCATGACCAAGTTCAATGAGCATCCTAGCATTGCGGATGGTTGCAGACGGCAGGCAGGTGGTGCTCTCGAGGTTTGTACAGATTGTGCAGTGTTACAGTGTTAGTGCAGCAGATGAGAATGTCCACTGCCGCTGGCACTTCCGAGACACCGGGCTGCAGATGGCAGTGCTGCACTGCGCCGCCGTGGGCTGCATTGCGCAGGGATCACGATCGTTCGAGATTATTTGAGTGGAGTTTGTCGTCCATGCATGTCCATGCAAACCTCTTTGCATATCCAGCACAGTGACCGGGCTCACGTCACACAGCTTCCAGCTGACATGCTGTTGCAGAAGGGCCACGCTTTAGAGGCCTTAAGCCATTTCTTTCTGTGCTAATCGGTCTCGGCTTTCTGCCGAAGTGTCGGCGTCTTCCCTGAGATGAGCCGAGAGGCTGCTCGTGTCCCGTGGATCGCGCTGAGTGCGGATCGATGCGGATCGGATGCGCGGATCGCTTGCCTCAAGAAAAATGCGTCCCGTTCGCCCAGAACCTGCCGGCGGGAGCCTCCCGGGAGCCTCCCGGGCCTTGCACTCCGCCGAAGGAAGGCTACGATGCCCAGGCCAATCAGCCCAGGGCTCGGACACGGCGCTCGATGCTTGGAGCCAGACGCTCAGCTGCACTGCAAGGTTCGGATACGTGAATGTCACCGACATGAAGGCTGGGCTGGGCCGCAGCGGAAAAACTCTGCGAAGCTCTGAAGCAGTAGGTCATGGGCAAGCTCGCAGAGTTCCTTGGCCTAGATGCCGACGTCGTCAGCAAAGAGATGAAGGCCGGGGCCGGAGATGGCCGGAGCCACGAGGATTCCGAGGCTGCAGGGCCTGGGCACATGACGCCCAGGCGCTGGACTTCGACGCCAACAACCTCGTCTCATTTGCCGAGCTTCCTCGCTGCATCGGGACACGGCTTATGAGTTATGAGCTTGTGAGATGTTGTTACTTGTCGGGTTGAGCATGTCTTGTCCGAAGCACAGGTTCGTGCTCTGGGCAGACAAGCACACCATTGGCATCCCGTCGAGAGCTCAAAGAGGGCACGGTCCGGCAAACTTCGCGGGAACAGTGTGCCAGGCTTGGCATAGCCATCCCAGACAAGCGAGAATGGAGGAGCCCGACAGTAGGCCGAGGGACCCGGGCCTCTGCGTCTTGAAACGGCGAGGAAAGGCATGCCAGCCCATTGGACGACGATTCCGCCGCCTAGCCCTGAGGAGGAGGCGCGGCCCAAACACACCGACACCGCCGCACCAGCACCGCACTCAACGCACTCTCCACTCCACCATGCCCGCCTGCCGAGGCTGCTCTGAAAGCATCCACGGCCGGCGTGGCCGTTGGCAAGGCGAAGAAAGCCAAGGCAAAGAAGGCCTGGCCATGCTTAAAGCGATCCCGTTGCAAAGCAGCAACGAGGAGGCTAGCCTTTCTCAACGATCCAAAAACAATCGAAAGACGAAGTGACGCAGTTTGTATTTTTGCCTCAAGTCCTGGTCCAGCCCTCCCTCTGATCCTCAGTCTGGTTGGGTTCGCATGGGTTCGCTGCATTGCTATCTGCGTGAATTTTGCTGAGGGTTCCGGGCGCTGTGTTGTTTCTGTGACGGATCAATCTGCAGTCTCAAAGAAAACTTGTCGATCCTGAGTATATCAGAGTCATCAACATTAGCACGCAGAGCTTTTTCAGATCCTGGACTGCAAGCCGCGTCTTCATGGCACACTATCAGAATCAATCCCTTCTCGCGAAACTGAGAGGCTTCCGTACCGGAAGATCCGGATACGACAGAGTTGGAGGTGCGTGAGCGTCCGTGTTGTGAGACACCTTCCTGTAGCCCAAAAATCGTCACCCCGCCTCTGCTGACTACTCCGTCAGTCATGCACCGTATCTCTGCACCTCACAGGAATCGATCTTGATGCTAATGAGCTAATGCTTCTTGGATCTTAGCGATTCAGACTTCAACCTGCCATAAAATCACTTCAGGACTTCATCGCTGCAGCCAAAGACGCTGAGTGGGAGAAGGTTTGGGAAATTCTGGACAGACATCCGGGGTATGCCAGGAACTAAGCATGAGGCTTCGCATGCTGATGGCAAGAGCGGCGGTGCCGACATCTTGCATCCGCGGAGGTAAATATGCGACCTCCGTACCGTCGCTACGCAGCAATCCACCAGGCGCTGCGCATCGGACCGGCTGCAGCCGAGCTGCCGAGCAGCCATCCGCTGTGTTTGATCGGTACTCTGTTCAGGCGTGCTTTCACGGGGAAGCTGACGTCGTCCGGAAATTCGTCGAGGATGGAGCTCTCCTTGGGCTTGCCGGTTGGCGTTAAGCTGCTGCTAGCATGGGCAGAGTCAGCAGCATGCCGCATGTCAAGACCAAGCAAGTGGCACCGCAGGACTGGAAAGCAGATCCACTGCTCAAGACCAAGGCGGGAGTGGTGCTCTTTAGTGCGCCGACCCTGCGCGCAGAACGCAAGCAGTGCGGAAGTACTGAATCGATTCCAGTTCTCAACTCACGCCTCTGATCGAGACTTGGAGGATTCAGAGACTCCCGAGGATGTTGTGTGTGCCCCAGAGCATCGACGCATCATGTCACCACATGTTTAACTGTGCTTCGGTCGGCTTATGAGCATCCAGCCTGCGGGGTTAGGGCTTGCTAGTGGGGGCTTAGGGGCTGCGGTCTTCGAAGCTCTTCGGCAGGTCGCTTCCTCGCCTCAGGTCTGCCCTTTGGTTCCCCCTGGGCTGGACGGTCCCGAGCCAGATAAGGCCTTCAGTGTCGACCCGTCTTCTTTCTGCATCGGCCTGTGTTGCGGCCTTCTTCTCTTTCCTCTGCTGGATTTGCTTTGCTTAGCGCGCTGGGCTCTGCGGCTTGCGTTGCAGCAAAGGGGAATCTCGGTTAGGCCGGTGGGTTGGTTTAGAGCTTTGGATGGGTAGTGTGGATCAACTTGCACGTACTGTGGACGCCTTACAGGTTCTGCTCACTCATCTTGTGGATCAGGTCAGCCGCCTTGAGGCTCGTGTGGCTCGTTTGGAGAGCTCGGGTACTTCTAGGTCCTCGTCTTGGGACAGGGTCTCGGGGATTACTTCTTCAGGGCAACCTGCCAATCCTCCTTTGACTCCTCCTCGGAGCCCTTACTCATTGCCTTCTCACCCTGCTGCCTCTCAGGCTGCTACCGCTCCCTCGGCCGCACCGGCTGTGACTTCTCCTGCTCGGCCCTCGCCTGCCGAGGCTGCTGCATTTTCGTCTGGGCTTCCTATCGATCCAGACGATCGGGCTGGCCGCCTGGAATTGGCTCGGAGCCTTGGGGCTTTTGTTCTGCGCTCACTCCGTGGGCAACAACTGGGGGATTCAGGCCGTTCACGCTTGAACCTCAAAAGCCGCTTGTACCTGATCTTCGCTGATTACGCTGGGCAGCCCCTGCAACCACCTCGGGTTGTTTACTCTTTTGCGGACGCCGCGGGGATTTGCAAGAGGGGTCGGGATTTGGGTCAGTCTGTGCTGATCGGCACCCCTTCGAAGTGGGAAGCAGTTGAGATTCTGGCAGCCGCGGGGTTCCCTTGGCTGGCCGAGTATGAGCGCTGAGCCTTCTGAAGCTGAGGACGGAGAGGCCTTTGATTCTCTGCGTGACTTTTGTGTGTGGGCCGAGGAGGTTCGCACAGTTGACTCCCTACCTCTCTTGGAGCTTCGCTGCCCGGGTGAGGGTGACACTACTTCTTGTGCCATTGTGCCCATTTGTGAGCACGGTGGTTCTTTGGTTGTGGCGGTGCCTCAATCTGCTTGGAATCGCAGGGCTGCTAGTAGAGTGCTCCCCCGAGGTGCGTTGATCAAGCCGAGGCTGGTTGAAGTCGCTGCAGTTGCCGCGGCCGGCGGTTCTCCGCACCCGGTGTTGTCTGTCAAGGTTTGGGTCGGCTTTCTTGACGCTGGACTGGAGAAGTCTTTTGCTGAAGTCGACTCCCCGGTGGCGCGGCCCTTCCTTGCTGCATCTTCTCAAGTGCCTGCGGATCCCGACCTAGACGGTCTGATTGCTGCCGCCGACAATCTTTTTCAATTCACTTCTGCTGCCTCCGCTCCGGAGGCGATTTTGCATTCTCGAGGTCAGGCCACGCCGCGAGCATGGGAAGAGCGCATGGGCTCCATGGAGCGTGCTCTCTCCGACATTCAGATATCGTTGTCGCAGCTGTCTGGTCCTCGGCTAGGAGCGGCGACTCCGGCCGCTTCTGCGCCGAAGGCTGCTCCTTTGCTCAGCGGGCCTCCTCCAGGCCTTGGCCCTCGCAAGTCCAAGCCTGCCTTAGACCCCGGTCTGGTGTCTGCCGCTCGAGCTTCGGGTGTCTCAGAAGACATTATTCAGCGGATGAGCCAGCTGGCTTCGAACACCGGAACCGTGCTGCCCGACGTGCCGGCCTCTTCCACTGTGGCACGCCCGGTTGCTGGAGGAGCAAACCCTCTCTCGGAGAGCGAAGAAGAGCTCGAAGAGGCCGCTGTGGTTGGCCAGGGTGCGCCTATCGAGCAGGCGGTCCTTCAGTTGACCAAGTTGGTTCGCACAATGGCGGGCGACAAAGCTCGGGGCCGCGATCTGAACAGCATCCTGGATCGGGCCGAGACGGGCGGCGCCGATGGCGGAGCCAACACTGGCGGTCGATCCAAAGCCGCCGCTTACAGAAAGCTCAAGGCATGTCTACAGGAGTCGCCTGCCGTGTTGTTCGAAGCGATCGAAGCTGCTATGAGCGAGGACTTTGCTCTCGTGCGATCTTCTCCTGCATTGGCGGGTCTTCCTGTTTCTTCCCGTGGCTGGGTCGAGCACCGATCTCGCTTGGGGCCATATCCCTCGGCAATTCGGCCGATGTGGATGCTAGCTGCCATCCACGACTGTCTCAAGGATGGCCGTCACGACGAAGCGCGGGCGCGAGCCGCTTTGGGGCTTTGCGCTTACGATCAAGCGGCGGTCGACTCGGGGTCCTGGGTTTTATCTCAGGAGCTGCTCTTAGAGCCGGCGCCGCCTTACCAGGTGTTCTCTCGCAACAGACCGGGTGCCGAAGGAGGGGACGTGATGCACACTCGGCTGGCAGACCCTCGCTGGGTGGAGGTGCTTATGTCCAGGCTTCGAGACCAGGACTCTTACAACGAGGCACGCCAACGCCTGTCTTCGAGGCGCAAGCCCCCGCCGCCCGAGGGCCATCCGCCTCCTGCGGACAGCAGTGCCGATACACCAGCTGGGGGCCGTCCCCCTCGAGGCCGTGGGCGCGGTCAGCCGACCGCGTAAGCTCTGCAGGAAACGGGCCGTGCGCCGGATTTGGAGGCTGCCCTGTGCCCCCTGCCCCTCTTTTAAACCTTAGCTCCGTGCCGGAAGAGCCCTGCGCCAGGATTGAAGGCTGCACTGTGCCTACGGCCAGCGATTCTCTTTCGCCTCCCAGGCGAGCTCCGGCTGCGTTTGAAATTTCTAATCCATCAGCCGATTCATCTGCCTACCGCGGGTTCCCTAACCCTAGGTTTAGTGGCCCGAACCCCCCTAGTGGTTTAGGTGCCGGGCGGCCCGGTTCCCGTGGGGCCGCCCCTGCTTTGCAAGCCGACGTCTTGCGCACTGTGGACGGCCTTCGGGCTGCTGAGCCTGCTGGGTACCCTGCCTCTAGGTTTAGTTCCCTTTCTCCCCCTAGTGGTTTAGGTGCCGGGCGGCTTGGTTCCTGTGACGCCGCTGGTTCCTGCATTTCTCCTGTTCTGAGTTCTCCGGCCAAGGATTGGCGACCTCCTGGTGGCACGGGCGCAGGCGAGCCAGTCAGAGCTCCAGGTGCCCAAGCTCCATCCTTCCATGGTTGCACCCTGTGGTCTACATTTTTCGGGCTGCTGCTTTCTCGGCCATCGCCCCTCAGATCCTTCTTTCACAGCCAGCGCTCTCGTGCAGCTCCCGCTCAGGAAGCTTCTTCTTCTACTTCGATCTGGCCGATGCCTCTTCCTTATCCGGAGGTGTTTGCTAAGCGCGAGGTCCGGCCGGGCCTTGCGACATCTGCAGACCGTGTGGGTCTCAACATGGTGGTCCTGATACTGTCCTTCTTGCACTGCGGCGGCCGATCTGTCGCCCCTGCTTCGATCTGCTGTGGCGCTCGCCCGAGCCCTCGACAGTGGGCTGCTCTTCGGCCTTTCCAGGAAGGTCTCCTTGCTTGGAATGAGTTTGCTGAGGTCACCGCTGAGGACATGGGTCGGAGCGCTGCAAAAATAGAGGGCATTGCTGGGACCTTGCAGGACTTGCTGGAGCAATTTACTCCGGCCGCCGCCGCTCTCCGGTCTTACCGAGGTTTGGCTTCCAGTGGGCCCCCGAAGCCCGGTGTTTGCGGCCATCCAGGTGTTGTTGTCGGCGCTGCCTCGGCCGACGCCCCTCCCCTGGCAAAGAAGCTGGAATCAAGTCGGCTATCATTTCACGGCCGGCCTGCATTTGATCCGGCGCCCTTCCTTGACACTGCCAACCGAGAGTGGTACTTGCGGCCGCTGGACCTGTCGGCTCATCGATATGCCCAGGGTGTCGTTCCTCCTCGGGTTCGCTTCCATTGTGCCAAAGAGGAGCGCATGCGGTTCTTCCGGCTGTTGGATCAGGGCGGTCGCCTCGCCCTTCATCCTGTCTCCGCTGTTCGTGCTGGGTTCGGGGCAGGGGCCTTTGCTATCCCAAAAAGCAGCCGAGCCGACCGCTTGATATTGGACTGCAGACCGGCTAATTGCCTCGAGGAAGATGAGGATAGATGGGTTCGGAGTTTAGGTTCGGTTTTTCAGCTTCGGACGCTTTTCTTGAGATCGGGGTCTAAGCTGATTACGTTTGCCGAGGACATCAGAGATTTCTACTACGGCTTTACCGTGCCTGAGCAGAGGCAGCTCCGCAACTTCTTTGACTGCCCCCTGCCCGGCTCTGCCTTTCGGGGGTTTGACTGCCACCGCCCAGAGCTCGACGCGCAACTAGTCTGCCCTTGTTTGTCCACGATGGCTATGGGTGACAAGCGGGCCGTTGCTGCAGGGCAGGCAGCCCATCTCAGCGTGGCGCTGCGTAGCGGGGCCTTCGAACTTGGTGAATTCCTGACCCTTAAGTCCGGTGTGCCTCGCTCTGGGAACTTTTCAGGTTTGATGATCGACGACTTCATCCACTGTGCTCAAGTGCCTTTCTCCGACGACGGCCGTCCTGCCACTTCGAGCCCTGAACGCAAGCACGCCGAGTCGAAGATCGATGCTCTGCATGCAGCTTATTCTGCTGCCCATCTTCCCAGGCATGAAGGAAAGAGCGTTCGGGGAGCCGACGATGCCGAAGTGTGGGGTGCTGAGCTGCTGGGAAAAATCGGCATCGCCCGACCCAACTTCAAGCGGATCATCCCGGTCGCGGGCCTCTTGTCCCGACTCCTCGCTGTGGGGCACTCTACTGTGCGTCTTCTGGAAGTTGTCGCTGGAGCGTTAGTCTCGGCTTTCCAGTTCCGTCGCAGGCTCATGAGCATTCTCTCCGAGATCTATAGCGCTCAAGCTGGCCGGCATCCCGCCGACATTGTGCGCTTGTCTCCTGAACTCTTCCAAGAGATGCTCGTTGCTGCAGTGCTCTTGCCCTTTGCGCGGATCGATCTGCGTTCGCCTGCTGCTCCCTGCCTGATCGCTTCTGATGCCTCCTCTCGAGCCCGAGCCTCAGTCGTCTGCCCCTTACCCGAATGTGCCTCCGAGGAATTCTTCAGGCATACTCTGCATAAAGGGGTCTGGTCCAGACTGCTGCGGCCTTTGCCTGCCTATCTCCGGGCCCGCGGGCAGCTCCCTTGCGACCAAGAGTTACCCGAGGAGCATTACGCCTCACACCCCATTTGGGAAGAGGTCTGTGCCAGCCGCCAGTTTCGCGTCCTTACCGGCGCTAGGCAAAACCGCGGTTCTCGGCACATTAACGTCCTCGAACTGCAGGCTGCCCTGGAGGCCGAAGGCCGTGTAGGCGAGTTGCACCCGGGTTGTCGTTATGTTCATCTCATCGATTCTCAGGTTGCTCTGGCCACCTTAGTCAAGGGCCGGTCGTCTTCGGAGGGGCTCAATCGCCTTTTGCGAAAGAGCATTGCTAGCCATTTGACTTCTGGCGTAGCTCCCGGCTTTGGCTATATAGCCTCTAAATCCAACCCGGCGGACGACCCGACCAGGTCCGTCTCCATTCGGGCCCCCTCTTGTGAGTGCCCTGCTTGGCTCGCTGATGCATGTGCCGGCCGATTCGAACGTCTCGACCGTTTGCTTGAAGGCCTCGCTCTTGATCGACACAGCACCTCCGAGCTTCCCCATCATTCCGAGCTTGCTCCCGACATTGAGGTTGATCTCCGGACTCGCGCCACCATGCGAGCCGATCGCGGCCGTGCTCGCCGCTCCTTGCCGAGAGCGGTTTGCGAGCCTCCTCCGTCCGTTGCCTTGGATTTTCAGCCTTCTGGTGTTCCTTCTCCGTCCGGTCCTTCGTCCTCTGGTTCGTCTGCTGAGCCTCCTTCTTCTGGAGCCTCTGTTACTACGGCCGATGTCTCCGGCCCCAGCCCTGCACCTGGTGCTTGGGCTTCTCCCCAGCTTGGTGTTGGCCTCTTCGCTTCATTTCGTGCCGACCAGTTCGTCTTTGACAAGTCTCGCTTTGCCTCCTTGCAGGCGGCTTTTGCATCCGGTCCAGGTGGGATTGAGCTCTTTGCTGGAACCCGAAACCTTGGTCGGGCCCTCGTTCGCTATGGCTTCCCTTGGGTGCTTTGCTTCGACATTGCCCACTCGCCTGAGGAGGATCTTCTGTCCAGGGTTGTTCAGGGTTCCGTAGAAGCTTTGATCCGCCATGGCTGCGCCCGCGTGCTAGCTGCTGGACCCGTTTGTGGTTCCTTTTCTCGAGCTGTCACGCCCCCTTGCAGGACGCTCGAACACCCTTCTGGAGTTCCCTGGTGCTCTGAACTGCAGCAGCTCAAGTGCCTGCAAGGCAACATCCTTGGAACCTGGTGTGCGAAGCTTTGCTCTCTCTGTCAGGAACACGGCACCCTCTACATCATTGAGAACCCGGCCACGTCCTGGCTTTGGCGGCAGAGTTGTTGGAGTCTGCCCTCAGGGAGTTGGTCGGACTTTATCGTCGATTACTGCAGGTTTGGGACGAAATGGCGAAAACGCACCCGTTTTAGAACTTCGTGCTCACTCGGGGGCGTCCAGGTTAACTGTCAGTGTCAGCGAGCACATGTGCGGCTCCGTGGTTACAATAAGGCTGAGAAGAAGAGCTGGACTGCTTGTGCACAGGCTTACCCGCGCTCTCTGTGCAACCTGTTGGCCGCTTCGTGCTCTTCGGACTGTGGCCTCCTGGCCGGCCGCCGCAAGCTGGACATTGTCGGTTGTGCCAGATGTATTGGCGCTCGATTCGGCGAAGCTTTGCGCCCAGGTCCTCGACGGCCCACTCGGGCTCGCCAAGGCCGGCTGGATGATGTCCAGCTCGTCGAGCCTGCCACTGCTGCGCTTCGGCTCCGCTTCTGGAGTGCCTTTACGCTTTGGGCCTGCCAGTCCTTTGGTCTCTCAGAGATCACCGAGCTTATGTCGTGCCCTCAGCTTTTTGTTGAAGCCCTTCGACTCTACGCGCAGGTCCTATTCAGTGCTGGGACGTCTTTGCATTATTACAGGCAGCTCGTTGCACACATCTCCAAGGAGTACCCCTCGGTGAAGCCATATATTGGGGCAGCGTGGAGTGCTGTCACACGCTGGGAGAGACTCGAACCTTTGCAGCACCGGCCTCCTCTTCCGGAGCCCGTGCTTAAAGCTATGCTGGCTTTAGCCATCATACGTGGATGGTACCGTTTCGCTGCGGTGACGGCCCTCTGCTTTTACGGAATCTGCAGGGTCGGGGAGACTCTATCAGCAAGCCGGGCTGAGCTCCTCACCCCTGACGACTTGTTGTCCGACAGGCGTTGCGTGTACCTTCAGATCAACAAACCAAAGACACGCAATCGTGGTGCTTCTGTCCAGCATGTTTCGGTGCTCGAGCCCATCGCCATCGCCCTCATTGAGTTTGCGCTGGAGCCGCTACCGCGAGCAGCACAACTTTTTGCGGGATCCCCGAGTTCTTATCGAAGGCGATGGGACCGACTGCTTCACGAGCTTGGCATACCTAAAGGGCTCAGGCTCACTCCTGGTTCTTTACGCGGAGGTGGTGCGGTCACCGCCCACCAACAAGGTCTGCCGATTGCGGATTTGCAGTGGGCTATGCGTTTGCGGCACCAGGTGACGCTGGCTCACTACCTTCAGGAGGTCTCAGCTGCCTCGGTGCTCCCTAGCTTATCAGATGAGGCCAGGAGCGACATCCGAGCCGCTGCTAGGTTTCTGCCTATCCTCCTTTCGTCTCTCACTGCTCAGCGCGCTCTTCGTGCCTGACGGCTACTTTTCGAGCAGCTGACGGGGTGTTGTGGTGCAGCAGCAGCATGCCTCAAAGTGTACAGGTACAGATTCGGCTGCCGCTGCCATTCGTCACGACACTTTGTCACGGCTGGAGTGAGGAAAAGGCGATGCGCAGTTCAACATGTCACCACATGTTTAACTGTGCTTCGGGAGTTTTTCGGCTCCCACCCGCCCGCCCTGAGGGTGGTGCAGCAGCAGCATGCCTCAAAGTGTACAGGTACAGATTCGGCTGCCGCTGCCATTCGTCACGACACTTTGTCACGGCTGGAGTGAGGAAAAGGCGATGCGCAGTTCAACATGTTGGATTTCGGACGTCGTTCTTCTGAAGCCGGTGAAACCTCTCCTGCCTACTTATGCAGCATGCAGGGCTCGAAGCCGCGACAGCAGAAAGTCGTGCGAGACTAGCCGAACAGTCCTAGGACAGCACCTCCGTAGGACGTAAGACGTACGTAACAAAAGTGGACATGGAGGCGCGAAAGCGTAAGTTCTCCGAAGGACAACCAGAGTCAGCCGAGGATGCCAACACTAAGACACGCTTTGCTGGAAAGCGAATCCTGGTGACGGGTGGAGCAAACGGCATTGGACGTCAAATTGCTGAAGAATTTTTACGCGAGGGATCGAATGTGGTGGTCGCAGATCTCGTGCAGCCTACGGGCATGAATGATACGGAGGATGGATCTTTCCAATTTATTCGTTGTGATGCGGCCGTGCCGCAAGAGATCGAAGAATGCTGCAAGAAGGCTGCGCCCATTGACATTTTAATCAACAATGTTTGTGTGCAGCTTGAGGCCCCATGTCACGAGCACAGTCTTGAGGACTGGAACAAGACCCTGGCCGTCGGTCTGACCTCCTATTTTCTTTTCTCCAAATTCTGCCTACCCCACATGTTAGAGCAAGCCCGTGGTGTGATTATCAACATCGCTTCCGTACAGGGAAGCCAATCCCAGCCCCGCGTTCCTGCATATGCCGCTGTCAAAGGGGGTGTCCTTTCGCTCACGAGACAGCTGGGGGTCGAGTACGCTTCTAAAGGTGTACGGGTAAACTCTGTCAGCCCTGGAACGATTGCAACTCCACTAGTGAAGGGTATCCTTGAGCGTGCTGGCACCACCCGCGAAGCAGCCGGGCAGGCATATCCGATGCGGAGGATCGGAGAGCCAAGCGAGGTGGCCAAAGTCGTTCTTTTCCTCGCGTCTGATGATGCCAGCTTCATAACGGCCGAGAATATCACGGTGGACGGAGGCATCATGGGGCTGGGAGGCTGGGCGAGATTCGTGTAAACCTCAGACGGAATCCACCGCGGTCGCAAGAGCCAAAACGAGGCTTCTGCAGAGGGAAGAAACCTACCGGCACACGTGCTGGTACTGCTAGTGCTGCCCTAGATTGCCTGTTAGTTTTCGTTTAGTTTTCGTTTGCGACGCCGGCCCGTCGCTGTAGAGTCCGCCATACGTGCCTACGTTGTCGTCCGCCACACATGCGACGACGGTTCTCCGTTGCTTGCTCCACACGTGAGCATGTCACAGACATTCGTCCAGGAACCTTAATGCTGTTTTGAAGCAGTTTCGCTTGGTTTTGCAGTTAGGGAGGCATGGAAAAACTGCACAGCGAGGCCCAGGAGAACGGCAACGACGAAGTGGTCACTTATCTCCAGGACTGCAGCGACTTAAGAGGCCTGCTTCGAGCGCCTTCTTCGAGAGCCTTCTTCGAGCCGAGGAGAAGCAAGGTGAGGAGCCTGAATCTGACGACGAGCAAGGGCCCAAGCTTGGGCCCGGGGGACGACATGAACTTGTTCCTGTGCCAGCCCCGCAAATGTGTGTTGTTGCCAGCCTCGCAAACCTTATGTGTAAAGGGAAGACGACGAGCCACCCTTGAAGATGATGCGGGGTGGCGCTTGCGAGCTCGTCTGGGGCCTCATCCAGTCGGACATTGGTAGCCCAGCCTGCTGCGCTTCCATCCGTAACAGTGAGACCCAGGATCCTGAAGAGCTCATGGAGAAAGCGAACGAGGCGAAGGGGTTGACTGCAGCGAAAGCAACCTCGAGACTTTGCGACGCCATGCGGGAGGCGATAGAGCATGCAAAGTGGCAGCAGTGGGACGAGATGCTCGCCATCTTCGAGTCCTACCCAGGCAGGCTCAGAGCACGCCTGTCAACATCTCACCACTTCTTCGGGCCCTTTTTCTCTGGCTCCGCGGACACAAATCTCCGCTTTGTTCAGGCTGTCAGAACATGCGCCCCGAGTATCGACGATTTGCTGTCCGCCCCCAAGCTCCTCGGGCCGCTCAACTGTGTTGTAAGCTGTTCGCGGCTGCAGAGGCGATCCATCAGGCCGCCTATGCGGGAGACGCCAAGATCCTGAAGAAGATGGTCGACTGCGGTGCCAATCCAGGCGACTTTGCAACACTTCCCTGGTCGTGCAATACGTGCAGTGGCCACTCTTTGGCCGTAGAGTGGGCTTTGACCGGCCTCGCGAGGCCTGCTGACCCGAGACAAGGCCAGAAGCGGCGCGGCGCCGCGGCTCTGTGGTGTTTGAGCGCTGTTGGCTAACTCACTGGGAGACATCGGCCAGGAGACGCCTCTGCAGATCGCCGAGGCCGAGGGCAACTCGGATGCAGCCGCTTTCCTCGAGTCCTTGGAGGTCGCCCACAAGCACCGCACGATGCTGTTGCTGTATACCTCTCTCTCTCTCTCTCTCTCTCTCTCTCTCAGGTCTCCGCTGAGAGTGCAGCGTTAATCCAGGAGGCGCACAAGGCCGGACCGCCGCATGTTGGCTGTAGTGTATGCAGGAGGTCTAGACCATGCTTCAGCTGAGGTGATTGATGCTGCCAAAGAAGGGAAGTGGGTCCGATCCTGAGGGTGCGAGCATCGCGCAGCTCATGCCCGGAGCATCTCGGAGTGTCTCGGAGTCGCTTTGTGCAGGACAAAACCTTCGAACTCCTCGAAGCCTGCAAACATCCAGATCAAGTCGTGAACTGTCGGCCATCCGTGCGCCAATACGGCGTACTTCATCAAGCTGCATTCCACGGCGATATTGAGGTGCGAGTGCTCCAGATGGGAAGAATTGCTTTAAGCCTCTTTGATTTATGAACACTGCAAGCTGGATTCGTCTGCTCTGAACCCTGCAAACCCTTCAGGAGGATACGGTGTTTGTCGGATTTTCTGGGCAGGTCCTGAGGCGGCTGCTGGAGGATTTCAAAGCCAACGTGAAGCTTCTCACCAAGGACTGTACCAGATCTACAGTGTACACCAGAAAGTTGGAGCATGGGTTTGGGATGATTAGTGCAGGGATTCCCTCTACTCTACCTTGAGGGTATGACAACTTCCTGGCTTTACTGTAATAGGACTATGTATCCTGCACTAGCGATGCTTTTACATGGGTTTTGTGATCCTGTGGCGCGGCTTGTGGCAGTGCAGTTTCACTTCTCTGTTGGCATTGGGGATGAGAATGAAGCAGGACGGGCAAAGCGCGCTGCAGATTGCCCAGAACGGCAGCCAAGAGGCAGTCCACTAGCCCTAAAGGGGAATCTCTCGTAGGATGTCAGCTGTGGCCACGTACGATTCACAGTACAAGAAACGGTAACTCTGCGCATGGTCGAGGCAGCCGCCAAGTATTTGGAGGCCGGAGCATCATGGCAGATGAGCACAGACATGTGGAGAGACTCGGCAAGCTGGAGGCGTGCGTGCCCAGCATCCAGCTCGAGGATGACTTTGTAAAGTATCCGGAGCAGGCAGTTTCGACTCCACTGAGAGAAGCATCGCTTCCTTGTCGTAGCGCCGCGGATCCTTTCAACAGCAGCCGCTGTGGCTCGGGGTCTATAGGAATATGTTGTTCAGGTCTTGAACAAGTCGGGTGATATGCGCAGTCAGCGGAACACGTTGCGACCCACATGAGCGGCTCGGAAAGTGTAGTACCAGCATTTCCTGGTTGCACACTGCACGCTGTCCCCAGACTGTACCAGTTCCCACCAACAGCCTTTGCCACTCCCTTAAGCCCTAGAGCCTTGAGTGTCGATGCCGTAGAGTGACTCCAGCAGCTGGCGGCGCCGCTTTGAGCGCAGCGGTCATGGAAAGGGCAGCTGAGACGCACGTCCAGTTGGTGACACCGGCTGGAACTCTGATCGCCGATGTGGCTCTGCGTCCTGACGATACCCTTCACGATCCTTGGATCGAGCTCGGTCCGTTGATGCTCTTGTGGGAGCATGCCCCGTCCCCCTCTGCGAGAGGAGCAGGTAGCCGGTGATACAAGAAATCTCCGATTCGCGAAGCATCGCGAAGCCAAGGAGCTGTATCGGCTCGGCTGTGCCAACTCGTCCTTTGATTCCACCTGCGTGCTCAGGCACGGAGACAGGGTGACACCAGGGGTTAGCCACCTGCAAAGTGCAAGAGATGTGTGGTTTTTCCGAGGTTCCAGCTACTGGATGCTCATGCGAATCCCTTGCAACATGATGGCCTGGTGCGAGACAACGTCAAGGATGGTCGGGGGCTTGGCCTGATGGGGGCTCTGGGTGTCTGAAGGCTCACAGCCTGATTGCAACTGTTGAGTTGGGATCGGAACGTTGGTTACACTGGCCAGTGCCAATAGTCCGAGGCGATTCCGTGACTTTCGTTGCCATCGCGCGAGACTGGATGGGGGCTGTCAGCACCCTGTGAATCTCTGGTGTTTGTGCCTTGTTACACACCTTCCCCAAGCAATTCCCAGGTCAAGAGGAATCCGGCTACCCTGAGATGTGCTCCGCAATTTGCTCGTGCAGATCCTCTGGTGGTCTTGGAGGCACGGGTGGAGGCACGCATTCGCATTCGCCCTGCGGAGTGCTGATTCGCTTGCAACTGCAGGCTGTCAGGCAACGTGGAGCCGTTCTTGCCTACGCCGCACCAGAGCTCCAAGACAAGCGAGACGTCGTTTTTGCTGCCGTATCGACGGCCGCTTTGCCTGGTAGTATGTGCAGCTTTTTCTTGGTAGATTGTCGGTGCTCTCTTAAGCAAGTTGTGTCCGTGAGGCTTTAATTGAACCAGAGGGTTGCATGTTATGGTGCTCCATTCCTCCCTCGCCCACAATGAGTCACAGCGATGTTGCAGCCCGGCATCTCCGAATTTGCAGCTCATGGAAGCCTACCTTTGTGCCTCTACCTACCACCCTCCTTCCTCTTACTTGGGTGTACCTTGACTGGCTGAGCTCCGAGCTTTGAGGACGGCCGTGCCCTGGAGTTTGCGTCGGCGAAGCTGCGAGATGACAAGGCCGCAATCTGCCATCCGCCTCTGCAGCGTCCCCTGCCTTCCCCTGCCTTCCCCTGCCCCTCTGCCTTCTTCCTCCTATTTCTTCTTCTCTTTTTCTTTTCAGGACATCGTCCTGGCGGCCGTGTGCCACCAGGGCCCGGCCTTGCGCTTCGCCTCGGAGCGGCTGCGCTCCGACCGGGCCACCCGGACTTGGACCCGACCCGTCTACCCGTCCCGGCTTATGGGATGCGTTCGGCTACCGAGGAAGTCGTCACCTGCGCCTGTGTCAATGACGGGTGGCTTCGACTGACAAGAGTATTGAGTCCTATTCACGGGGCCATGGGGCAGTGGCTGGTGCAATGAGTTCAGTTCAAGCCTAGTTCAAGGGTTCACCTGAGACACTGGGTCCGGGTGGCTGATGCTGCATCTGAGGAATTCCTTGGAGTACGCGATGAACTGGCGCAGGGACAAGGCAATGGTCCTTCTGGCCGTGGAACGGCACCAGGCGGGCGGGGCGGGAGTGCGTGCTGGCGTTTCCGGCTTCGCTTCATCAGGCTCTGGACCGGCAGTCGACGCTCGGCAGATGCTTAGTAGCGGCTTATACCGGCGAATTCCCCGGAAAGTCCAGAGAGTCCTTCGACGATCCTTCCGAAGTCCCCCGCATTAGCGCATGCCTGGGGCATGCCTGGGGCATGTCTGTGGATGTCTGGAGAGGCGCAGTCCCATCCAATTTGCTGCTCCTGAGCTGCTGGGGAACTATGACTTCATGCTCCCAGGATGCACGGAAGCCACTGGCCAGGGCTACGAGCTGCATCACGGATCGAATTGAAACGGACACAGAGTAACTCAAGAAGAGCAAGTCAAGGTGGCAAGCGGCACAGCTCGACCGCTGCTGTGTCGATTTTGCTGCTGCTGACATACGTGTGGGCCCCAACTCGTCAGCCCCTTCGCACGCCAAGGACTCTTCGGTGGCCTAGTGCTAAGTCCCAAGTTCTTTCAAGTAGCCCATCAGTTACCGAAGGCTGAGGATGAGTCCGCGCACCTAGCCTATGATTGGTTGCAGGGAGTCGATCGTGAAGCTTGACGGATTTTACGCGGGCTACATGTCATCTCGCCGACAACCGCGACAATTTGATGTGCCCGTAGCCTGACAGGATGTACGGCCTGTGGCTAGCAGATAGAACCGAGTCGCTGCTACTGCCCATGGGATGCCGTGTCTTTGCATGGCAATGCCATGAGCCGGTGCTGGTTCCGCTAAGGTCCGGTTTTGCGGACCACTTTGGAGGAGTGCTGGCGGTTTGCCGGCAGGGCAAGCTTGCCTTGTCGAAATGCTTGTCTCATGTGGCTGTATCGTGTCACCGTGACCCCCAACAACTCTCCACCAATGTGAAAGCCGTAGCTGTGCTGCAAATGGTATCTCGCAGGAAAGTCTGGACAAGGATCACGGTTTCCATCAGGTGAAGGACCGGAGCCTACCTGCAGTTGCTCGGGGCAATGTGCTTCAAAAGGTAGGCCTCCGCGCTTGCTGCAGTGGCGGACAAGGGGGCATCAACACGAGGTGCCGCTGACGGAGTTGAAGTTCCGGTCGGAGCGCAGCACTGCCCCAGGAGCAGAGGACGGCTTGGATTCTTTGATGTGCTTTGCGCTGCCACGCTTCTGCCAGAGTCGGTACACTCGAGGCGGTCATCGTTTGACTGTGAGCAGGACTCAGAGTCGGAGTCAGACGGGGACGGCAGCGTTTACAGCATCTGAGTGGCCTAATACAGCCGCTTCGTATTCTGAAAGTAGTATGCTGCAATGCTTAGGATGCTTAGGTTGTACAGATATGTCCTGACATCATCCATCGTGCTGGAATTCAAAGAACCTCAGCTGCGGCTGATTTGGATACGCCCACACCGCCCATTCGGGACCATTCGGTTCCACAGTCTGCACAATCTTGCCAATGACAGTGTCCATGCTGTCTGCTTGCAGCCTTTTCGGTGTGTGCGTGCATTTCAGGCACTGAGCTTTTGCGTTTGAAGCACGAGATTGGCTAAGTAGTAGCGTCAGCTGCTGGCGGACACAGGTTTCTGCTGCTCTGCTCGTCGAATTTGGCATGGACGCACTCCCCAACGTTGGAGTCAGACCATGCAAGTGCAAGCTTCTCTCGCGAGCTATTCAAAAACGGCATTTGGACACAGCACCTGCTGATGCTCTCTGTGACTTTGGTGTCCTGTTGAGAGGCCTTCGTGAAGGTTGAAGACAAGGCTCTGCTGAAGAGGACTGCTCGGGACAGTCGAGACAAACTGCAGCACAGTTTGAAGCGGGATTTAGCCAAGTATGCATGCCCAGCCTGATTCTATCTGTGTCTGGGCCACCAGGTTCCAGACCCTTCTCGACAAATCGCAGCTTCCCCGGAAAGCATGACCGCTGGTGGACTGCACCTGCAGTGGCATCTCGCTTGCTGCAGGCACAAGAGCACTTGCAATTTCACCCGGGACAGAAACTGGGCCAGCGGTATCTTGGCACACTCTTATAAATTTCAGCAGATGTCGACAAGTGCCGTTCCAACATGTCGTGTCCCAACTCGTGGCATTCCGTGGTCTTGAGAACTTGAGGCGTGTTCGAGAACATGACGCCAGTGCCGACCGGATACGAGCTGGTCACCTGACTGACTGGACACCTGGCGTCGTCTGATCTCCTCTTATCCCAGGTGGGTGCTGTTCGCAACGAAAATGCGGCACTTTGGCGCATCTACCAGGCCGCCTATGAAGCCTTCTGCATGCTCTGTCTCACGACAAGCTTCCGCTTCAAACAGCCGATTTCAAGTGCCTACGTGTGCAGTGCATAGATAAGGCTAGGCCGCATGAATTCCGGCTTGTAACATGCAGGCTTGAGAGCACCTAAGCGGGCTCGGACAGACAGATGCGGAAATCGGGCCTCTGATGGCAGTGTTCTTCTGAAGCCTGTATGCGGAATGCAGAGAAACTGCAGAGTGCTCTTTCCCCATCCTTACGACCTCCTCCTTTCCAGAGGTCTCCAAGGAGGTGACGCGCCTGGACTGCGCGAAGCCTCTGAAGGAGCGGCCGCGGGTACAAGCCTTATTCCTCAACTTGGCGCGGTTCCGTCAACCAAGATTCCGTCAACCGCGCTTCCTTCAACCATGTTCCCCGCTTCCCTCAACTCAGATTGTGCCGATTCTTTCAACCCCCATCGCCCGCTTCCCTCAACCCGGATATTGCCGATTCTGTCAACCCCCATCGCCCGATTCCATCAACGCGTACTGTGCTGATTCCGTCAACTCCGCCCCCCCGGTTAGGGTTGAGTGAGTACTCCTGGTTGGGGTAGCACGCATGTCTGTAGTTGGAGCGACTCTTTCCGTATGGGTTGAACGAAGCAGTTGTTTGGGTTGAAGGAATCATTCCCGGGGCCATGGTTGAGTGAATCTGCGTGCTGGGGTTGAAAGAATCAGGTTGTGTATGGGTTGAACGAAGCAGTTCTTTGGGTTGAAGGAATCATTCCCTTGGACATGGTTGAATGAAGCTGCGTTCTGAGGTTGAAGGAATCAGGTTTTGAGGTTGAAGGCATCCGCGTTTCCGGGTTGACAGAATCCGCGGGCAGTCCGCGCGCGACCAGCGGCCGCGGCGCTTTTTTTCCTCGCAGCGGCGTCGTTGGAGCTGTCTGTGTCGGTGTCGCGTGTCGATGCGTGTCGGTCGCGCGCGCGAGGAGGTGCCCTTCAAGAAGTGGACGCCTTTGACGATGGAGGCTGCGAGCACGGCGAAGCTGCTTTCGTCTCTGAGCGTCTGGCTACAAGTAGTTGCAAATTGGCACAGCTGTGCGATGCAATGCTTCTGCAGACTCCCAGCAGGCTGGCAAGGGCCTTGACTGGAGCGATTTCGACATCTGCGAAGATGCGAATGAATGGTCCTGCGCTTTGGGGGCCATCTGATTGCTGGAATTCGTAGTCGAGTGCTTGCAAGCGGCTGTGCCAGTGGTCATGGCAAGGATTCTCTTCCATGCTTCCATTCCAGAGGCCACCTGACTGTGTTCCTCGTTCGGCATCGCAGTTTGTTCGGAACTGTGAGTCACCGGCTGGAGTCACCAGACACGGCCAGTAAGACAGGCGGAAGTATGGGTCTTTTTTCGTCTGCACTCTGGCACAGTAGCTCGTTAGAGGTCGTTATCGATCAGATTCGTGGTCGCACCAACTCAGCCGGACCCGAACATGATGTAAGCATCTACGACGCAGTGTGATGGCACTGCCGGGATCACTGGGCCCCCGTGCTGCGAGGCGCTCTCTGCAATCTGCCGCAGCTCGGCAGGATTCACTCGCTACAGTACTCGCACAGGAGTCTGCATCGATGCAAAGCGCTCGTAGTCCTGCGATCTGGGAACATCTGGGACATGCTGCAGTTGCATCAGCATTTTGGGCAGTCGCGCTGCCCGAGGCACCGGCTTCACCATGGCCAAACTTGGCTCCGGCGGCACCACGGGCGGCGGCGGCCTGTACGGAGACGGTGGCCCGGTTGCAGCAAGGCGACAGGTGACTCAGTGAATCCACGCTGCAGCAGGAGGTTGCGTGATGAAACGCGTGTGTCTGTGGGGGCTTTGAGAGGCACCTACTTCGCCGACTCGATCACGAAAGCTGATGAGTATGCTCGGCGCAAGGCAGTGGGCAGTAGTGTATGTCAGCATGTCTTTGCACCCACCAGCTGTTGGAACAAGTCATGTGTTCAGGTCAGCTTCCTGAGTTTTTACTGCCGGTTACAAAATTGAAACCTCTGCACACGTGACAGGTGGAGAAGGGCGAATTCGCTGGATGTCGAGTTGCAGCGATCTGCCGAGCCCGCCCTGGCTTGCATCATGCTGGCAGCCTTTCGAAATGGGCAGATGTTTGCTTCGCGACAGGTAGACTTGCGAATGTCAAGTTAGGCTGCGACCGGACAGGTACTAGGCGGCCGGCATTTCTACATGGACAAGGCGACCCATCTGCTCTCCATGCTACCGTGCAGCTGCGCATGGTGCAGACATGTCGAGCTGTTGAGGATGTCATGGAGAAGGACAAGCCTAAGTTTGCCAAGAGAGTAGCAGCCCCGGTGAATACAGGAACACCATCCAGATGGTTCAAGCACCTGCGCCGCTGAGCTAGGTGCTCGAAGGACATTACAACAGCACCGTGGGAGACCGCTTGAAGGTGAAGAACACCTTTAGGCCAGGCAGATGACATCTCTGCCCATCCCACCACCGGTTTGCAGTCCGCTTCGTTTGCATCCGTACCAGTTTCTTTCCTCGAGCCGTGTCAGGGAGTATGTGGCCTACGATGCAGCAGCAACCTATATGGAGACTGGGCTGAGAGCTCTAGGAACGGTCCCACGGTTCAACCAGACCGAAGCTTGGAGCCTGAGGAGTATCTCATTTACTACCGGCGCAAAGGCCTGTGCCTGTGAATGCTCTCTACTCGTCATGCGACTGTTGTGAGCACCTTTGCTGGCGTCAGGTGTGCCGGCAAAGCACGAGTGATGGCAGATGGAGAAGCCCTTATGCTCATAGCGACGCTGTGCAGTGTTGCCGGGGCAAAGAATTAACATCTCTTGCTTCTCCCCAGTGCCGTCAGCCCAGTTCAGCCCCCATCTTGATGTGTACAGTCATCTGTGAGATGTGGGCAAGTAGCTACCGTAGACATGGAGCGGCTGCAAAAGCCACACCTCTATGGAGTGCAATCGTTTACCTCAAGAAAATGGTGGCTCTCTCGCATGTGACTCGGTGCTCTTCAGCAAAGCATAGGACCGTAGGGTTGGAGGAGCTCTGCTTGACCGTTGCCAGGAGGAACTGCCAAGTCCTGTACTGCAACGGCAAGAGCAGGGAGCCCAGGAGTCTTTGGAATCAGGAAGTCGAATGAGACTGGCCGCAGTGAACGGCTTTCGAGCATCAGCGTCCAACACTCTGTGCAGAGTCGCATGCGCAAATGCACGAATGCAATCTGATGCGAGCTCAGGTCTGTGAGCAACCCAACACTCAAACGCAGGCAGGCAGGCAAACGGACCAACCGACAGACAAGCATGCAAGGACATTATTGGCAAAAATTATCCAGAGGTTGAATACATGGACGTTACGAGGCAAGCAGGTCTACAATGATAAACAGCTGGGCGGCAAACGACAAGCTTCACACCGGCCCATGGTTTCCATTGCATGAACGATGCGTTTGATTTGGAAAACAGAGCCCGGTGATTCCGTCGGTAGCACTATCACAAGCATTCAGACGTTCTTGGCCAGAACGTCCCCGGTTATATTACAATATCTGACAGGTTGAGAGCTTCCGTGCAGCAGGCCGACTCAAGTTGCCAGGGCGCAAGCTCACAGCCATTGGTACGCACTATTGTCGGACCTTCCACTCATGCACTCACACGCACGCACACGCAGACATGCACACATACGTTCACGCTTGGGTACTACTTCCTACTTCTGTAGCTTCGCTGCGCTAGAAAAGAATTATGCTCGGGACATGTTTAAACCACACCGAGGCAAAGATTGCACTGTGTGATGAATTTGTGGAAGGGCAGGGGCTTGTAGATGAATGAAGATGCCAAGAATACATGCAACACCGAATCCGAAAACGCGAGACGAACGAAGGATTTGCAACCCAAAGAGAACAAACAGAACCGAAGGCAGAATGTGGCCGAGACTTTGGTGCCTATCCAGTAGCGGACAGACGGAATAGTTACGTATCTCTGTTGCTGCATCTTGAGCCGACGTTAGTCTTTAGCTGATACCTGTTGCAGCTCATGTTTTCTGCCCTATCCGAGCTGAGGCGCGGCCAACTTGACAGCTGGCGAGGCTCAGCTGGCCTTTGTGAACGTGAGGGATCACGCACGGCATCAAGTTAGGACGAGTCGTCAAGCTGGGATAGGTGCTGTTAAACGCAACGTAGCTACTAGTTTGGGTTTCCGTTTGCCTGCATTTGTTGGAGTGGGAAAGCTCTTGTCGCAACTGGGTCGGCTAGTTTAACTTCAGCAGTAGCTGTGTGGCTGGGTCACCTGCCTTCGTTGTCTGTGCCAGGTCTATGCAAGTGGAGTTCACCACTTCTGCCGGTATGACCGAACATTCAGGGAGGCTGGCTTTTTGCATTGGGTCTCATGTGATGGGAGTCCGGGAGTCCTGGAGCGAAAGTGGCACAACACGGTCACTACCGGTTGCAAGAAGCCGTCATGCCGCTTGTGCAAGGCAGACCCAAAGTTTGGTTTGCACGACGACGTCGGGGCCTTTGAATGGTGGAACGGTTGTGGCAAGGTGCTCTAACGTGCCTCAGTCGGCTCGGACAGAATGTTTCTTCCCGTTGCTGCAGGATGCTGGCTGTTCTCACCCGGACTGCTGTGTCCAGGCCCAGTGCCAGCAGAAGCCGGTGCGTCAAGCGCGAAAGAAGACAACACTCGTGTCACGCCACATCATGCTTGCCCGTCAGAAACGTAGCAAACGCGACAGATGAACCTGTGCTTGCCATCTTCACGGAGGAACGAAGCGCTTTCGTTCTGCACTTTGACAGCCCCAGCTTCATGGAATGGCCAGGGGCCCGTCTCGGACTGCCGGCGCGCTGTTTGAGGACGGAGAATCCCAGGCATGACAAGTTCGCCCTGCGCGCAAAAGCCTCAATGACGGAATTGGACGAAGAGGACAGCAGTTTTCGAAGTCGCTGCTGTGCACCTCTCCTTAACTTACTGTGTGCAGCAGAGGAGATGCAGCTCTTCCCTTTCAAGAAGGCACCTGTCGCCGTAGTTGTGCTGTGACTTTTGCATCCATCCTTTTCATCCAACATCCAGAGTCCTCGCTCTACTGCTCTCTTATACTAGTCGTGCTGCTCCTAGCTGCTACGTCAACCGAAGGGCTTGGCAGATGGTACCAAGTGCTTCCGCCAGGCTTCGGTCCAGGCTTTTGCAAAGGCTGAGAAGGCCAGGGCCATGGGCAGAGGGCTCGTTGAGAGGACCAAGGGACCTGGAGTATTCAGAGTCGAAGAGTCCGGAGCACTCCTGGGATCAGCTCTGATAGGGTGACCAGCTTGCAGGCGGCAAAGCAGAAGCAAATCTACCGCCACTGGCGATGCCTGCCTGGACGCAAGGCTCCCTCGACGAGTAGCGTTGCGGCGGTGCAGCATTCGTGCTTCACATACGAGATGGCTGCAAGGAGGAAGAATTTCATCCGAGGCCGCCTGCAGCATCCTGCAGCCACTGGCATGTTGCAGCATGCAGCCATGCGATGCATTACTGGCAGCAGCTTAAGGGCGGATTCGGTTTGAAAGCTCAGCGCACGAGCTGAGTGTCGTGATGCTTCAGAGTCAGAGTTCAGAGCTTGGAGTACTGTGCAACGATGGGAGGATCACCGGCGTTAGCCTCGAGGAAGAGTTCCAGCGCCTGCTTTCCCAGGCGAAGTGCCGTAGGTCCTGCATTTGCTTCTTGCGGGATGTTCTTGGAAGCTCGGACCAGGTGCGCGGGGGCCATTCTTCGTGAGTGCGGACCAGAGCAGCAACGAGCAAGGAAAGAGCCGCACGGTCGCAAGGGTCGAACTGACTCTGCAGGCTTCCTTGAGATGCAAGCAGCAAGCCTTTGCCTTCCCCTGCTGGCTCACGTGATACGGCATTCCACAACGAAGGCGAGTAGCCCTTACATATCTTGCCGCATGTGGCCATAGGAGGGAGGGAGGTTCAGACATCGAGGAAAGATTGGCATTCCACACCGGCCACATCGGAATGGTCACGTAACTGCAAGAGCGTACACAAAACAGAATTCAGAGCTGCTCATTACTTTTCACTCCAAAGCTATACAGAAGTCTACACATCTCTACGCACCGGTGCACCCAGCTTGCGCAGGCTTAGTCTAGGCTATCAGGCGGAGAAAACAAGAGCGGCATTTGGTGCTTCCAAGCCCAGCCCTGCCATGGACGACCGGCTCAGCAGCCGTCAGGCGACAAACGTGCGAACCGAGTCTTAGCGCCACCAGTCCAGGGCGTCCTGAAGATGGTGCTGTCCCTGCACGTTCAGGGGGCTCGACGGTGTTCCTTCCATGGGGCACAGACCTCAGTGAAGCCCTGCGACACATGCACTCTGAAGATGCTCTCCATCGAGCCAGTGCTGTGGGTGCTATGTTTCCCAGTTTCCCTGCAGGTGTGGTCTTTGCACGCCGAAAGCTCATCACTACAAGTCCTCTGCCGTCTCTCCGACTGCGCAAGCTGTCGGGAAGAAGGTGGAAGGGCAGGGGGTGGAATGGTGGTTTGGGGTGGTTTGGATAGTTCGGTTCGAGCAAAGTCTTGAGGCATCTTGAGGCCCGTCAGATCGCACCTGGCACCTGCCAGCTAACGAGTTTGTACGGAGACGGAGCACGGAAGCTGCCGGGCTGAGTGGCATTCACGGGCGCGATGCTGAGAGCTCCTGCCACAGGCCTCCCTCGCAGACGCAGCACCGTCGCAGCAGGATGTGCAGAAGTGATGTAGCGTCGCTGCAGGCAGAGCATACGTCTTTCTGTCAGCTCGCCCCGCATGTGGACGGTCAAGAGTGATGCAAGTGCCGAGTGGGTTGGACAGCCTTGAAAACCGTTGGTTGGCGGTGCAGGATGCCCCACATGCCCTGCCCAGCACTCGGTCACGGCCAGAATCCTGGCGGGCGCGATGCGAAGAGGTGCGACGGGGACTGGTTTTGAGGCGTTCTGCGTTCACTCGACTCGCGTGCAGATCCCTGTGAGGCCAAGCCAGAAGATCCTGCGGAGAGGCCGCCTCACAACATGCTGCGCCTCCCGTCGCTGAGACTTTCGATTGCTCTGGACCAGGTCCGAAGGCCCGCGCGCCGCTGCCGAAGCCGAAGCCTTCGGGTCAGAGGCGCAACGGGATCCGACGGCGGTCAGATGGGGAGCTGGGAAAGGAGGGAGGGGGCTGCAGCGCATGCTGCGCCGTGACGTGCCATGCCTTTCATTGAGGCGCCGGCTTTACCGGGGGTTCTGGTGTCGATGGCCCAGAGGAAACGGCCTGGCTACCTCAGTGCTGAGTCAAGGTTGGCCGGTCTCGCCAAGGCAAGGAACGGCAGAGGTTGCTGTCGCATCGAACGGCGGCGGCGAGGCGCAGGTGCGGCCAAGGGTCCAATAAGTCCACTACTTGAGGCTCAGGTAAAAAAAGATAAAAAGAGTTCATCGGTCTTGCAGCCTGGGCATGCGCAGGAAGGCCCTCTCGTTCTCGAGGGCCGCTCATCCAACGCAAAGCGGCACGAGGCGAGTACTGGAATAGACAGCTGCAGGCTTGTTTGCATTTTGCTGGTAAGGAATCCAAAGCGTGCAATCAATGGACAATGGAACTGGCCAACTAGGACTCCCTCGCAAGATTCGAGAAACACCAGAAACCAAACAGAGAGTCTTCTTCTGCAGAGTTAGGCAGTTTCTTTTTGTTTTTGCAGGCAATTAGGCCTCGGCCGGAGACGGAGACCGCGGAGGCGAAGGAGGCGCTCAGGGAGGTGCGGGGGAGGCTCAGGGAGGCGCCGCTTCGCGCAGGAAGAGAGCCTGGAGTGGGAGATGGAGGCCTCCGCCTCCCTGGGCCCTCGGCCTCTGAGTCAAAAGGTGACAGGTCCTTGGGCGCTCTGCTCTCGAGGCGACGCTGCCGGCGCTTGCTGCCCAGCTCCGGGGCGGGGAGGCTCCCAAGCATACCGTAACAGCAAGACTGTAAAGGCCGAAGAGAGTTCTGAGGATTCCTAAAAAGGCCTGCTTCCGGGGTAGGCCCATCCAACTCGGGATCCCAAATCTCCGGCGGGACTCATGGATTCGTTATGAATTATGATTATACCGCCGCTGTCCCGGGACCGGTGCGGATGTAAGCCTTAAAGCCCTTACTAAACACTCGAATTTCGATTCTCTGTCACTGTCGCGGCTGGGTCGTTGTTGTGTTGTTGGCTGTTGTTGTTCGCCGTTGCATTGTGTTGTTGTTGCTGCTGACAAATCAAGCCTTCTCGCTGGAGGAGTCGCCAATTTGTTACGCCAGGCATGTTTTTCGGCCAGACACATGCTTCGGTCGATGCTCACGCACGCACGCACTCACTCACTCACTGCCACTCTCTCTCTCTCTCTCTCTCTCTCTCTCTCTCTCTCTCTCTCTCTCTCACTCTCCCACTCAGTTACCGTGCGCTGTCAAAAGCTCCTGGTATAACGGGATAACGGTTACCATGTGAGTTTGTGAGTTGTGACGTGCAAGAGCCACGTGGCCAGTTGTGCCGGTTCGGGAAGGCGGCCGCGGCCGGTAGTGCGAGGAGGAAGAAGGCAGCCGTGGCAAGCGCCTTATATTGGGTTGGCCCCAGTGCAAGCCTTTGCAAGCCGTCGAAGCTAGATTTCTTGTGTTGCTTCGGGGCTGCAGGGGCTTGGGGACCTGCTCTGCCTTGCATGAGTTAGGTATGCAGTAGCTATAGCTAGCTCAGGCACCAGAATCCGGTTGGCACGTGGAGGAGGCTGAGGCACTTGGAGAATCCACACGCCCGTGAAGTAGAGAGAGCGAGAGAGCGAGAGAGAGAGAGAGAGGTGCAACATAGCATATCAGGCTCAGGCGTCCTTGCCGGCGCCGCCAGCCTCTCCCGCAGCACAGGCACAAAGCCACATGTCATATGTTATATGAGTTGTATGTACATGACTTCCACATATCAGCCTGCAAGGAGGTCTGGAACATGTCGGCATGTCATGTGTTTTTTTTGCTTTCCATGAAGTGCACACAGCCAATGTGGGGCTAGAACGCTTCCACCGTTCCAATGTGCACTTGGGATTTTCTTGTGCCCAAGAGACATAAGCAGGCTCGCACTCCGGCAGTAGGACATGGCCTCCAGCTGGGAAGTCACAGGTTCAACAAGTGATAATTTCGAGCATTATTGTGTGACTTGGCAGTTTTGCTGGCTTCAATTGTGTTTTGGGGCGTAGCCTCTCTTGCACCTCCATCGAGCCATCTGCTGGTCACATGCGGAAGACGACTGCTCTGAGACTCTTGAAGAGCCTGCACTGAAGTGACTTTGATCGCAGTGCCACAGGCATCTCCTGCATGGCAAACATCAACGAGCGAGGCCCAAGAAGTGGGAAGACTTTTCATGATGCTCGCTGTACCATGGGATCAGGGCTTCGGTTTGGGTGCAGCTTTCTCCATCAGATGCTGCTGGTGCTGATGTGCGCAGGCATCGCTCCATCTGCCGATACCTCACGAGACAGGCTCCTCACAGGCGGTTCCCGTTCCATGCAGAGTTTCAAGTTGTCCCAAGCAGGACCCTTACAGCCTCGCACACCCTACTTCACCGTCCCAGCCTCCAGCCAAGAGAGACCAGCGTACGTCTGGAATCCGTCCTAGGAAGGAACAACAGTTCGATCAAATACAGGAGGTGCTGAGAGCAGACATATAGGCCAGGCGCCTTGATACCGTGTGCTGGAAGATAACTGGAAGCGCAATTCCCTGCATCGTTTCGTTTGTTTGAAGTTTCGTTGAATTTTGTCCGGTTCGGATGTGCTGCGTCTGTCGCAGACCTCACGGTCCACCTGGAAGCTGGAAGAGGTAGCGGGCGGGAATGAAGCGTACACGAGGGTGGTATCATCAAAGCAGTGTCCGGTGATTTTGCACCAGTCCGAGATTTTGGAACCGGCTGCAGGCTGACATCTTCTCTCCACTTTCTCACTTTGAGACCGAGAAGGCGGAAGCATCGGTGTTGCGTGCATTTCCTCGTGTCAGCTGGTCGAAATGCAAAGAGTAGACCGAGTGGCACTTGCGACTTCCACGGCTTACCTTTTCATGGCTGCAGGCAGCAGACGACAATTCGCCCTTGTCAGAGCCGATCGTGCAGACTCTCCCGAAGGCGAGAATCAGAATACCCACTAAGCCCGAATTCGTTTCGCGGTTTTGCTTGGTGCTATCGCGCTTCGGGTTATGTATCGGGGACCGGTTCGCTGATGCTCGTGATTTTTGTGGAAACAAGAGTTTAAGTCGTGACCTGCAAACCCGCGGCAGGCACCGGCCTTCCCGTCAGACGTGGAGGTGTCAACGAGCACGCAGCCACTTGGTTCTCATCCGACATGACCTGGTGCCACTGCACGAGATGAAGCGTCGGCACGCTTGTGAGCCATGGGATGTGAGGCTGATGCTGCTGACTTGGGCCCGATGGGGCCGCAATGCTTGGCGAATCAAGCAGGAAGACCAGATCAAGCAGCTTCAGCACAGGCGCCTCGCACAGCACAGAGAATACACTTGCGAATGCTGGTCTGGGTGGAGGCGCTTTCCTCGCACGCCCGCGCCGCCGCGAGAGCCTTTGTCCCCACAGCCGACACCGCGGTCGACACCGCGGGAGTCGCGGGAGACGGAGACACCAGGCTCCCTGAAATTGGGAAAGGGGGGGGGCTCTGCAGTCGCACGATCGTGCCGTGCCGCAAAGGGTGATGCATCGGTTCCTGGACTTGAAGGCTCGTCTCCCGGGAGTTCCCCTGCCTCGTCCTCGCGGCCGCGGACGGGAGCGGCAGCCTGGAGAGCCGGTGGTGAACTAGGCGTGCGCGCGCGCGCGCGCGCGCCTGTGCACACGCTCGAGGCGCGAGAGTCGTGTTTCCTCTTGTGAGCCTTCTCGGCAGGCATGGGCACCACGGTCCACAGCCGGGAAGGGCGCGAGGTCCGGGAAGGCCGCGACGACCGCGGCTTTGCCTTCGCGGAGTTGCGGGAGGCTTTGGCATCGATGGGTCCTGGCCCTGGCTGTTCCCGCTTGTGAGCTCCGTACTGGCAGGAGCAGCGGGATTCCATGGCTCAGCAGGGTGCCAGGCCAGTGAGCTCCAGAATGTGCCATTCCGTGTTTCTACACAGATCACTGGCCGCGAACGGGAGGACAAAGCTCGTTCGTGCTTTGGGCGGAAGTGCCGCCACTGCTCACAGCACTGGCACCCCTGGCTTTGGTGTCGTACCTTGGTCGCCACAATCTGGTGCTGCGATGTTGAAGATTAGCTTTCAGTGCGGGTTTGAGGCTGTCAGGGCTACGCTCATAGGCACAGCTTTGCCGATCCCTTCTCGAGGACACACCGGGTTTCCCAGGGGCCAGTGGCGCGGCTTCTGCGGATGCATCGGTGGTGAGCAGCGGCGTGGCGAGTCCGGTCAAGGCCACTTGGAATCTCTAGGGTGACGCAGGGGTCCGACACCTGGACTTGTGGTCAAAGGCCTAAAGCCCTAAAGCCTTCGGAGGGATCTCGGCTTGGCCAGGGCGGCCAGATGTCCCCCTGGATCCTGGAGGCCGAGGCTCTCTGTGAGGCGCGGGCGGTGAATGCTCGGAAGAGCCAAGGATAACAGTGCCTGTTCGAAGAAGTGACTTCCTTATTGCAGGAAACCGACGAGGATGTTTCTCCAGGAGGCGGAGGAGGCGCTTTCCCTTGCTTCTTTTGACTCTTTAGGGGCTGGAATCGGGTGGAGTTCTGAAGTTCGAGCGTTGTCTGAGTGGCAGGTTGGCGCCTCGATCCTGGGCTCCCTTCTCAGAGGTTGCTTTGGGAAATCGGGGCGAAGAGATCCCGTGCTTTCACATCGTGAAGCAGAGGTCTGACAACCTGCTCCTCAGCATCGAAGAGGAACTCCGGCAGCCTGGCAAAGCTGAGAAGGTCGCGGAGCCACCGCAGCCCCCGGAGCCAGCGGTGCAGGTGCTCCCATGGGCAGAGCGCATTGCACGGTGATGCGTGTGCAACACGAAGACTCCATAACATGCATCACGGCCACACGAAGACAGGTCTATCATGAATTTCGGTTGCCTCGATCCGACCATACCATGAAGCTTGCACGTTTTACACCGGGTTACTGTGGCTGATATATTGGTAGCGTATCCGCTCATTCCCCACTATAGGCCAACGATGACCATGTCTTGGACGAGGATGAGTTGGAACGGGTGGAGATGTCCGAAGCTCGTCCTTTGCCTTTCGCCGCAGCTTTACGGGATGCAGAAATGCCGAGGTTTGAGGAAAGCCCCAGCAAGAAGTCGGCGCAGGCGCGACCTTTTCCAAAGCTCCGGATTCTGCAAACGATGCTGGTCTGGAGGAGAAGACTTCGCCTCCCCACGATCCTGCCGCAAGAGCTGCTGAGGAGAAGCCGCCCGCCAAGGCCAGAGGAACGGGAAACGGTGCTTCTAATTCCAAGTAGGCGCTTCTTCCCTCAAGCCCGTTGCATCATCTCCAAGAATAGGCCTCCCACGACAGAGTTTACTGGCTGCAGGACGATTCGGCGCATCAGCCCTTCGAGCCACTTGTCGGCAGTCTTGCCGCAGGTCTCGTCATCCTCCAGGTTTGCAGTGGCCCGCCTCTGCTGAGGTACATGGTGGGCGAGAAGGTCTCCTACTATTCCAGCTCTCATGGCGCCTGGATGCCGGCGCGTATCGTGGAGCGAAAGAGCAGGAGCCGTCTGGTCCGAAGACGGCGTCGAAAGCACGAACATGCCGCAGCTGGATTCTTCGGTTCGCTTTCCAGTGCTAGGGCAAGCTGCGGTAAGGGAGTCTTCGATTCCACGCAGGACAATCTATGTCATCGACAAGCAGATGCGCGGCTGCCTGGCGAAGGCCGGACTGACAGCAGCTTCATTCAGCAGTAGCATTTTGGCATGATCCGCCCGACAGGTCCGTGCGTCGGAGCTGGTCTCCGAGAGGGAGGAGGAGAAGAACCCGGTTGGGACCTCGGCTGCAGAGCCTCCGACAGAGTAAACCTACGAGCTCTCTGCAGGTTCTGCGAGCTTTCGATGTCCTGGAAGTCCATGCCCGGGCTCCCTCCAACCGACAGACGAGGCCGACGAGTGCGACGAGGCAGGGAGTCTCTCCGAAAAAGAGATCTAGGGATTCGGGTTTTTGGAGGTTTCGGCGGAATCGTAGCGACAGGAATGGAAAGTCCATACACTCCGCTCGGCTTTTCACACCGCAGGAGTGGCTCGAGTCCGAAAGGTCGCCTGAGCCCCGGCACTGAGGGCGTTGGCTTTGACAATTTGACGATAGGAGTTTTCTGTTGAAGATTCTCTTCTCCTCTAGTGGCCAGCGGTTGGATGCCATAACATGAAAGACATAGAACTGCCGGGGCCGGCTTCTGAGCGTGGCTCTTCAGGGTGAAGAACGAGAGCCGGAGCAGAAGGGTCCCAACTTGGCTTCGAAGCGGCGCTCTGCGGAGGTTCTGGCAGCCCGTCCCCAGCAACACCCACCCGGCTGCCGGGCAACCGAGGCAAAGTCACAAAGCCTGTCGGGCCCCTCTCCATTTCCGTTGATTGCAGGGCGCATCGTGCGAGATGATTTCAGCGATGATTCTGATGACGGCTGAGCAGGAAGTACGTAGATGATAGGTAGCTTGCAGAACCATGCGCCGTCAGTCTGTGGGACAGTATGTGCACCTTCATGTCCATGTAGGCTTGTTCGATGGATGCACCGTAGCCTTGATACAGCTCCAGACATGGCAGGCACTTGCATGAGGCTAGTCAGCTGTTGACACAGCACTTTCAGAATGCGGCTTTACATTGGTCAACGCATCACGACCAGCCCTCGCAGATTTTGCAACTCCCGGGTGGTGGTAGTGGTAGTCAGCACTTGTTGCAATGACTTGACTAGGGTTTGTAGGGAGGTGTGGTGTGGTGAGGATGTGCGGTGAAGGGTGTGGAGGGACAGCAAACGCACCGATTCTCCCAGAATCCATCCGTGCCGCCAAACGGCAATGCTTAGAAGGGTTGGAAGGCCAGCCCCAAACCACAAAATCCATCCGCGAAGCCAAACATTTACCCGACAGGCATCCACAAATACCTCCGCTAACCGAACTGCATCAAACTGCAGCTCCACATGTGCTGTACGTGTGGGCGTCCTCCCAGGGCGCTTGGTATGGCTTTAAACAGCAGCCTCCTTGTCGCATAATTCTTGAGCATGCACACACCTGTACCACAGATGGCATGCAGCTGCCACCACTCTACTTTCAGTATCAGGAGACTTAGTACGTGGGTCAAAGCAGACACCCCCGTTTATGGTGCAGTGCTCATGACCCCATGTTTGACTTGCGTACTAAGCCTCGTGATCCTTAAAGAAGACGCTTCTGCTTTTAATGTCCTTGGAAGGCCAGCCTAGTTGGCCATTTCCATGCAATCAAAGTTGACCCTCGGCTGAGGAACAGGCCAGGATCGCTTTGAAGAATTCAAGGTGCCCTCTCGAGAGCTCCTGCTCCCGGTGTTCCCATAAGGGGTGCTCATTGATGCGTCAATATAACTTATAACTGTGTGCTGTGCAAGTAGGAGTGTGCTTCATAGCTGCTGGAGCTCCATGCAGATCCTTTAGGGATGACTGGCGCTCAGTGAAGGAAAAGCGGGTGCGTCTCAGTGGGCAGGTCGGACTCCATCGCTGCTGCTACTGCTAGGGCTACTGCTGCTGCTGCTGCTACTATTTCTGCTACTACTACTACTACTACTACTACTACTACAACGACTACGGCTAGGTGATGCAATCGGTACAAACGGCACAAGAAGCAGACATCGGGGTGGGGGAGAGCGGGCCCACTTGTGCCACTTGTGTTGCTTGTTCCGCTTGTGCCTACCAGTACCATCAGCATCAGGATTACCATTCTCATGTGGATGATCATCGTCGATGCCATTACCATTAATTACCAATCCGATTAAGATTGCGATTGCTATCACGATCACTGTGACTATTAATTACTATTTCTGTGAGTATGGCCATGACTATGACTATGATACTACTGGTCCTTCTCTTACTACGACGACGACTACTGCTAGTACATACTACATACTACATACTACATACTACATACTACATACTATCAGCTACTGCTGCTGCCACTACTACTACTACTACTACTACTACTACTACTACTACTACTACTACTACTACTACTACTACTACTACTACTACTACTACTACTACTACTACTAGTACTACTAGTACTAGTACTAGTACTAGTACTAGTACTAGTACTAGTACTAGTACTAGTACTAGTACTAGTACTACTACTACTACTACTACTACTACTACTACTACTACTGCTACTACTACTACTACGACGACTACTGCTACTACGTACTACATAGTACATACTACACACTACTAAGACTACTACTACTACTACTACTACTACTACTACTACTACTACTACTACTACTACTACTTCTACTACTACTATTTCTACTACTCCTATTACTTCTACTAATACTACTACTCCTACTCCTTCTACGCTCACAACCATCGGTGCGCCCAGCAAATGTCCCGGGGTCACTCCTTTTGGGGTTTGAGGGTTTCGCAGCCACTCAGTTCTTTTAGGGTTTAGGGTTTCGCACCCACCCGGAGCAGGTGTGCGGGCGAAAGCACAAGCAAAACTGCAAACAGCGCGCACTCAGAATCCTCGAGACAGTTGTCATTTGTCATTTTCAGACGCGAGCTGCTCGTCTGTGAAACTGGGGCGTCAATCACCGTCCTCCGAGCATTTGCCGAATGATACACGCCTGCCAGCAAAACGAGGCCATGCCCGGCTCCGAAGCAGGTGTGCAGGCAAACGGACAGTTCTGCGGTACGACGACGACTTCTACCGCTACTGTTGCTACTGCTACTGCTACTTTCTACTTCTACGTCTACTTCTACTTCCTACTTCCTACTGCTACTTCTACTTCTACTAATTCTACTACTGCTACTGCTTGTGTGTGATGGGTGGGTGGGTGGGTGGGTGGGCGGGCGGGCAGGCGGGCGGGTGGGTGGGTGGGTGGGTGGGTGGGTGGGTGGGTGGGGCGGGTTCAAACAATCGTTCATTGGTCCCTGAACCACTCCTTCGTGTGAGTCCCTGACACACGGGTTAGGTTTTGCGACGTGTGAGAACGCCTTGTATGAGTCGATATTCAGCAGCCAGGCTTCTCAATCTTCATGTCGCACGCGAAGCTTCAAACGTCGTCCATATTAACGGCGTTTCTGCATCTGGCTGTGGGTTCAAGCAGCCGCCGAGCCGCCGCTGCCGATGACATGCTGACGCCAAGGTTCGTGCAGGGACAGTGTGGCAGAGTTTTTCGCCAAAGACTGGTTGAGGCCGCTTCAGCCGGCACTGCGGAAGCGTCTCCTTTGGCTTCCCGATTCCGTCAGGGGCACAGCATGACAGCACACTAGCTTGCTGTTTGTCCACGGTTCCTTAGTTACTCGGCGAATTGATGAGTTAGTGCTCATCGTTATGAGTCCATCAGGATGACGACGTGGAGATCCTCGGCGTCAAGGGGCCGCGAATCGAGATAGTTGCCTGGCCGCAGACCACAGCCACACTTCTTGCCGACACATAGGTGATCTGGGATACACAGACGCTTGTCCCGGAAAGTGTCTGATGGCAACTTGAAGCTCGAGCCTTTCCGCTGCGGCAGATTCCCACGAAGCCCGAAGAAAAGTCCAGGACCTGGTGACGCCTCCACGCCGTGCGGTTGTGCATGCGCCCCCTCCGGCTGCGCCGGAAGCGTCTGGGCAGCAGATGGCCAGGGTCAGGGCTGCCAGAGAAGTTCGTGCACTGCGGGCTGGCATGGGGTTCATGACCGTGGCATCCTGTGTCTCCGGCCAATATCTGCAACGCAGGATCCCGAACAACGTGTGCCACATGTCATCATGTTCCGCAAAGATTCATGCCAGGTCGGGGCAGCCGTCAGCCTGAGCCCACAGGCTTGCAAGCCCGTGTATTTTCAAGTCCAGCAGAGGGTTCTCCCACCCAAGCGTCCCCATTCGAGAGTACTGTAATTGGGGAGACTCGGGCACGTCTGGCTCTACTCAGCCTGCTCGACCAAACAGGCATGCAGGGACTTTTGGAGTCCGTTTGCCAGTTTTAGTCTCCGCGCGAGATTTTGCAACAATGCATTGCGGCCGGATGACCTCAATTGCCACTACCGTCGCAGGTGAAGGCAGAGAAGCCGGAGGAGGTGGAGCTTCCTGGTGTGAAGCGGGAAGTGACTCAGCCTGCACGGAGCCTGAAACGACGATAACGAGTCGTAAACAATGTGAGAAAGGGCAGCTGTCTTTGCGCAGTTTTCTCTTCTTTTCGGAGTTGGCTGTTGGATCTTGCTAGCTGCCAGAAGCTTGAAAGATGCCCGAGACTTCTGCTCTTGCAGTTGCTTTTGGCATGCTCTGAGGTTGACAGCCCGCCGTGCACGCCACCCCGCAAAGTGCCTGTGAGCTTGGCCATGTTCCCCTTCAGGACCCGGCCGGGTCGTTCTGGGTTTGCTTGAGGCCCGGGCAAGGGAGCGAGGGAGCGTGCGTTGGAAGGACGCCGCCACGCCTGCGACGCGGCTTTCAGCTCCGCGGCTACCTTCAGGCCGGGCAGGTTCAGTCGAAACAAGAACCAAGGAACAGGGGGTCTTAACTCGGTGAGTCGACACATCCCGTCTGCTCAAGTCCTGCACGTGCGATCCTCCGGACTTTCTGTGACGAGGTCCGCACATGCGATCTCCAGATGCGTGAGCGCTTGCGGACGTGTCGCCCCAAGGTGTCTTGCGGGGGAGGGAGTTGCGTGAGGTGAGTGAGTGAGTTGAGTGAGGTGACGTGGATGAGGTGAGGTGAGATGCATGAGGTGAGTGAAGGGAAGCTTTTGTTGATATGACATCACGTTTCTGAGAACTGCGTTGTTCTTCCTGCATGTCCACGTGCTAGAGATCCGCCGTGGGGCTTGAGTGAAGCATTGGTGACCTGTAGACTGTAGTGTGTAGTTCTTCGGCCTTGCCCATCATGTCCTGCTGCAGCGGGCTATGGTGCTGGTTCCATTCTGACCTCGACAACCAGGTGGGCACCCTAATTTTTCGAAGCGTCATGATGGAGAGTGAGCTCAATCTTTGCTTGCATCGATGATGTACTGTGTTCGCTGTTGCAGTGGAGGATTCAGTCAAGGTGATTCAAGCAAGCAAAGGCTGTGAGCGAACAGCTTCTAGTCGCTGTGAAAGAAAAGGCGTACCCCTACAGTACGACTTCACAGACCCCCAACGTCAGCCCTTGGCAGAGTGACAGGGCGTGCACAAAGCGAAGCCAAGGCCCCTTCGTCATCAGATCGCCAGCGTCAAGACTCAGGTGCCTTTGCCGGCTCTGAGTGTCCTGTGGTCTGCATGTGTACGTGTGCCTAATTGCGAAGAGTGTGCACTCGTACTCTGAGCGTTTGCCCAAGCCTGGAGAACAACGGGAGTTTGCAAGTTGACGTGTCGAGGTCGCGTCCGAGCACTGCCTCTGCTCTGAGGAGCCGTTGCAGTGACGCTTTTGACACATTCAGAAAGCCATCTAAAGTCTTCTTAGAATGGGTTCCAGGCGAATACGTCTTGACGATGTGTGTTGATATTCGGTCTGCTGAGGTTTTGATTGTCACAGACATAGTCTGCTGCCCGTTTGCCCGTCCTTCATTTGCGAGGCCGTCGCTGCGTCCTGCTGGGCAACCACAAGGCAAGCTGCCGGCACATGGACGTTGAAAGTGGGTCAGCGGAGTTCGGATAGAACGATTTTGACAGTTATGGGTGGGCTATGGCAGTGCGGGCCAAGGATTTGCTCTTTTGCCCTCCACCTCTCCCGGATTTTCTACCTTCAGCGCTCCTGCCGTCGCGCATACGCTCGAGTACGCTTTAGTTCGCTGGAGTATGCTCGAGTACGCTCGCTCGAGGTGCACGATCCGTGCGTACACCTGCGATCGGCACAAACACGAATTCCCTGACGGTCCGAGGGCGGTTCTTACAACAGGCGCTTGACAAAAGAGGTTTCAGAAACAGGCGTTTCGTGATTCACGGTGGGGGCGGTTTCTTTAGAACATAACATCAACAAGCTGGCCATCGAAAGAATAAGCACACAAAAGATTCAGATGGTGTTAAAGCTGTCTCAGCACGAGCGCCTTTGCACTCAGTTGTTGAGATTCATTTGTGCACGAAACTACAAAATGCTCACATCCGCCGCCCGACATGTGCACGGACAAATGTGCTGGTGCCCGTTACATATCTTCGCATTGTCCTCTTCGTCTTTCATATTCATGTTGTTCGCGTGTACAGTTACGTTCTTGTATGTGCGATGGTAGTCTTGTTGTTCTTGTCATTTGGAACGCCGCTTTGACACATAAAGCTGTGCTCGACGCGCGTGGCATTCTTTGCTTGCCGGGAACCCGTTGCGACGTAAGCGATTCTTGCAGTTCATTGGATTTTTGTAAACAGTTGTGAGCACAATTTCCTGGCTGTTTCACAGGGTGTATGCAGCCGGACACAAATTGAAAAGCTGCGCGAACAGAAACTGATTTGTGCATGAGCTCGATATTGAAACGAACAAGCGTAGCAGAGAATGCTACACAAATCTGTGCACATAAGCGCTGCTCCGGGAAGTGATATGCTGGAACTACAACTGCAACTACAAGTGCATGAGTAATGATCTTGTCTTTAGCGTGATCATTCATGAGTACAAGGTGACTCTGATGACGGTATGATGGTGACAATCTAGGCCGTTGATGATGATGATGCAGCTGCTGATGATGCTCATAACGATGTTGTCGCTGGTTCTTGGTTCTCTCCCAATTAGCATTGCTATAATTATGACATCGCTCTGTCATTAAAAACGATTCTTGTCAACATGATGACTGTTGCGGCCGATGTCTGCAGCTGTATCTTCAGTAACCATCCCCACGTTCACCACGATCTTGATCGTATGTTCACTTGTTCGTTCGTGCTGCGACTACCAGTCGTAGAGGTCATGTGTGTTGTTGTTGTTGTCAAAATGCAGAAGCATACCCTACATCTCACATGCATCAGCATTCGTATTTGTGCCATGGTTGCTGGTGGTGTTACTGTTGTTGCTTGTGTCGCTTTTGATATCACTAATGTTGCAAGGAGCACTATATGTTTGCAGTACTCCGGCTTCTTCAGTACGGTAGATCTGCAGATACGCAGAATGTATATGTCCATATATTTATACAGGCACACAGGCACTTCCATATTTGCACAGATTATCGTTGCTGTGTGGATTGTCGTTTGCTTACGTTGCTGTGGTCCCGCAGGCTGTGCGCTGACAATGTCGTCATTGAGATATTTCGCTGTCATGCTTGATATCACCTGACGTTGCGGCTGGAGTTTCTCATTACTTCATATACCCTCCATTGTTAAATATAGTATATGTTTCTGTTGTACTGAAGTTCATTGATATTCTAATCATGGTTTGACGTTGTTGTGCTTTTGAATTGTTTGCCATCAATATTCCTGTTTCGCATCTTATGGCCCCATAACTATAGTTCCCAGACTATACTGCCTTTACGAAGTTCAAAGCTCTTTAGCGATCAGGCCGGCTCAGCCAGTAACGCGGTATGTGAACCTCTTTACGCGGAACACGTCTGGTTGTCGATTCTTTGCATATGGCATGCCTTGGTTTTTTCCTGAAAGCAGCACCGTGATTCACTCTGTTGTTCGCCTGTGTCTCTTCGAGGCTCAAAAAGTCATCTCGGGGGCAAAATCAAAATCCCGAAACAGGCACTCACGAATCTAAACCGGTTTGCACGGATCTATTTCGGTTTTCACGGTCATTTCACGCGTGATTCCCGGTGTTTCACGGCGGTTTTGTGCAAAAGACACACTGACGAGCTACGCTCGGTTGTCGACCGACGCAACCAAACTAGTATATGTCATGCGTTTCTGGGTCGTGAATCACGGCTTATTTGCTTGTGCATCGCCTGAACCCAAACCCCCTTGACGGGCCGAAAGTGGGAGGTTGGTTCCCCAGGCTTACCTAAAATTGCGGAGCTCCGGAGCCGTTAAGTCCCGCATACTTGGTGTTCCTATGATGCCATGGCCGGCCCATTCATGTCCCAGCCGTTTGTTAGGCCGGTTGTTCGTGATCGGCCATATAGCACAGAGCAAGTTTATCATGCATGTTCTGTTGTTATCATTGGCACCAGTACATCTCCTCTTGTAACTACTCAGGTTAAGCTGTTGCTGGTTGGAGTTGTACTGGTGATATTACTGTTAGTTTCATGGCTTGATATGACATAGCTTTGTATTGACTGTTGTAGTCGTCAGGCTTTGTTGTCATTCATTCTTGCGAATTTGATGTTTCCTTTTGAACCTTGAAGGTTGTCAAAGTTAACACCATGTCTGTGCATACCATCATCACTACCACCAACCTCACCGTCATCATGGTCGTCAGTATGGGCACCATGACTTGGGTCATCACCCATGCCATCAGTATTGGCCATCCTGTTTGCATATATATATATATATATATCTTGATGTGGTGCTGATGGTGTTGTGCTTGCATGTGTGTATGTGTGTGTGCCGTTTCGACGGTTGTTGCTTCTGGTATCATCAAGATGACTACGATGGTTACAATCACAACTTTGTACAGATGACATCATGACCCTTTTGTACTGACCGCTCTTCTTGTCTTACTGCAATGGCCGAAATCCAGTTGCATAATGTTGTGGTTCTTGGTCATCTTGATCGCTGTTGTAATTGGAAGTATGGGTGTTAGAAGAAAGTAGCACCAACGTTGTACACACCTGTATTATTTCATTGGTACCAGTATGTGTACCAGTATGTACAGCAGTGCTTATTAATGCGTTATGAGTTTAATTGCAGGCTCAAGACGGTTCCTAGTATATCGTGCGTATATATGTATATATACGCACACTAACTGTTAATGCAGAGCAACACGAGTTCGTGCATACACAGCCTGTGTGATGCTTTTCATTGTCGCGTTACATCGGTTTTCCTTACAGTGCACACACACACACACGCACACACACTAGACAACAGATAAAAGACACTTGCACCCTCTTATCGCAAGTTGCATATGTATATGTGAAGCCACATCTAATTGCGCACTCGCTCATTCATACACGGACCTATGCATGCCTGCATACAAAGGTCTTACAGTATAGCAAACTTCTTAGTCACGAATACATGATTACATACATGCACCGCATACGTCCTTGCCAATCAAGTTGCATGTCTTCTGCATTGCATACTTATTGCCTTTGGATTTTGCACCTTCTGCGAATCTAGAACCTCGTACTTGAGACTACACTACATTGCGTTCCATTGCATTGTTTGTTTTCACTGTAGCAATTTTGCGCTGCTTCGTGTTATGCTCAGGGATGTTTTGTGACAACAGACTGCCATGTGACCTTTCCATGCTGTTTCTTGATCAGACAGCATACGAAACTGTTGTGATCAGGCATAGCACCAGACTGTATCGTAGAGGCGACATTGGACGCTTTGATGGCAAACCAGGCGATGACATAATAAGTACGCGCTGCCTTGAGTATGCAGTTGTCAATGGGCACTGCTTTCGAACCCCTGCCCCGCCCCGCCGATATTCTATGGACGGTTTCTTTCGCTCGACCGTTTCTAAAACAGGCGCGGACGCGCAGGGCTACATGCTCGCCGCTCACCCGCTGTTCACTTCATCTCGTTACTCGGGCGTGCTCGCCGCCGCTCGTGCCTACTCGGGCCTGAACGCATCTACTCGCC